GGAATATACCCCTAAGGGTCCATATACACAACTATTATGGAATTAGGCCCCCCAAAACCATAATGTGGATGGTCTTTTGGTACCTTATACATAATGTTAGTGTATATGGACCCTCTGGGTGTGATACCCCATAGTTACCTGAAGATCCATTTAGGGATATCAGTAGCTACTGTGGCCCGAGAAAGTTCCGATTCTGTATCAGGGGTCTACCATAGGTGCCTGAATAATGTCCTATACTATTCTGGAGGGTCCTTATTACAAACATAGTAGAATGACTAAGGCCCCTATACTAATACTATAGAACCCTACTATAGATACTATAGATCCTTTATAGACCCCTTTAAAAGACACCCCTTAACGGAACCCTTTCTTGATTGTTAAGGCCCCTATATTACGCTATGAAACGAAAGCCCAGGAGACTCACAACGTGACTTTCGACACTGCCGACGGCGAGGTGACGGCACACGATCTTCTCCTCATGGCCGTGTCGCCGGTGTTGAAGGCGATGTTGGAGTCGTCCATGAGGGAAGGGAGAAGCAGGCGTATTTCGGTAAAGGATGCCTCCTCTAGTGGTGTGTCCTTATTCGTAGAGATGCTGTATACGAACGCTACACGTACGGATCCGGACTACAAGACCATGTTGGATGCCATCGACGTGGCTCATCGCTGGCAGGTGAATTCTGTTGCACGCACCCTTGCAGATGCCCTTTGCGAGCACATCACGAATGAAAGCTTCATCCCGATCGCCGAAGCAGCAGCACTCAAGGAGCTCGATTCCTTGGCAAAGGCACGGAGCCGCAATATTCCCGGCAAGCCCTAATATAGGAGCCTAAATACTTGCCCATCCCATTTTTTGGTGCACCTTTTTGTAACCATAGTAGAGAAATGTAGAGATAGTACAATACACCCCGAAACCTGTTCGCACGATTAACGCCCCTACATTTGTTCTGGACTCTGCAGCTGCTAGCCCCCGACCCTCCATCGCTTCCCCTGGGCAAGGCGTGCGCTGTGTTCGCTACGAAGAGCGAACAGATCCAGGAGGGATTTGCGGAAAACATCCTCAACACTCTAGGTGACGGTTTAGGGCTTAGAGTTTGCGGTCTGCGATATAGGGTATCATTCGTTGAAGTTTAGGGCCTGGGTTTACTTTCGGCAAAGTCTGTGCAGTTCCCCGACGCAGGCGATGTTAAGGAATGGACGGATCCCGCCATGCGCTGCTTGGCTTTAGAATGTGATTCGGGTTTAGGGTTCAGGGTAAGCCGTTTAGGCTCTACTTAAAGGATCATGGGACTTAGTAACTAGGGTTATAATTAGGGTAACTATACCTACAACTACTTATAACCCCAATTCAGGGACTTATAACCTTACTTACTAAGTCCCATGATCCTCCAAGTAGGGTATAGCATTTAGGTTTTAGTAAACCCTAAACCTTATAACTTAGGGTCCTTTTTTCAGGCTCGTATCTTGAGCACAAGTAGGTCCATAAATCCCTAGGATGCCCAGTAGTACCCTTGTTCCCTTTTTGTAGTCCCAGGCTCCAGAAAGGGCGCCCTTTTTATCCCTAGGTTACTGGGCGCCATAGATCCCAAGCACAAGCTGTACGTCCGAGTTCTTCGATCCACAAAGCCTGATATCACTAAACCTCCAACAGTCGTACTTGAAGCTTCCTGGGTAGTTATATAATGTTATATATAAGAACTCCTTCAAGGCCCCTTTAAAGGGATCTATAGGGATTCTATAAGGGTATAGGGTTTAGGGCCTACTTGAAGGCTCATGGGCAGTTATAAGTGGAGTTATAAGTCCCCTGATATGGCTTAACATTTTCACTACTTTACTTATAACCCCACTTCTATATAACTACCCATGAACCTCCAAGCACCCTATACCCTAAACCTTGAACCCCCTACTGCCTACTGTAATCTCCTCAACCTCTGAAGCCCCAACACTAACCCCAAGCTCCTAACCCCCAGACCCTCAGGTAACCCTAAACCCTTGCTCCTGAACCCTAAACCCCTAAACCCCTAAACCCCTAAACCCCTAAACCCCCAAAAACCTAAACCCTTAAAGCCTAAACCCTTGCTAAACCTTTGCTCCTCATTACCCTGGGTGGGCATCAAAAACTGAGCCCCCAAAACCCTAAACCCTAAACCCCCAAACCCTAAACCCTCAAAGCCCTAAACCCCCATCTCCAAGCCCCCTGAACCCCTTTTGAAGGATCCCTAAAGCCTACCCTATAGATCCCTTATAGAGCCCTCATAGATCCCTTTAAAGGAACCCTAAACCCCAAGCCTTCGAAGCCGGACAGCCGAGGTTTGCAGGCTGCTGGGCCAACCTGAAAGCACCGATTCCGGGCGCGCTTCCCGGAAGAAGCGCCGCATTTTCTGAAGAAAACCCGTACTTGGAGGATCATGGGACTTAGTAAGCAAGGTAAAAAATACTTAAATTGGGGTTACAAGTAGTTTTAAGTAATTATAGTTTCCCTTGTTATAACCCTACTTACTTAGTCCCATGATCCTTTAAGTAGGGACCCCAAAAAGGACATAGGGTTTAGGCTTGTAGGGCTTAGTACTTTAGTATTAGGGTTTTGGGGTTTAGGGTTTTAGGGTTTTAGGGCAACAGGACATAAGCATAAGCATGTCATAACGAAGTCCCCACCTTATTGGGCTTCATTATAGGGGGCTACATATTTTTGGGGGTGTCCCAACCAGAGAGGTTTGCCTGGACCCCCACAAGAATGTAGGATCCCTAAACCCACTATGTTACCTACGTTTGGGGGTTTCGGTCGAGTTTGCTGCATCGGGAGACCAATAGTTTAGAGTTTAAAGCCTCAGAGCCACGGTTTAGGGTTTAGGGTTTAGAGAGCAAATCGAAGAGCTTCAAGCTTGCTGGCCTTATGTATTTGGACTATCTTGGAAAGTTTGAAGACTTCGTTTGCGGTTACTTAAGAAGAGAGAAGCGCAGGGAGCCCAGTCTACTAAACCTATAGGGGCCCTAGTTCTTAGACTACGTAAAGGGATTGTCATGTTGCCCACAGGCTCCATGTGCCCATATAGTAGGTACTTCGTCCTGAAAGTACCTATATAGGGACCTCTTTACGGTCTAAGTACCTACTATATGGGCACATGCAGCCGTAGGGTTGCTCATAACCTAAGCCGAAGACCCGAAACCACCAACCCAAGACTCCGAACTCTCTTTCTGCGACACCCCCCCAACTACCCTCCCCTTCACCCTAGACCCCTAACCCCTAGCCCCTAACCTCTAAACCCGAAACCCCTATATAATGCCCACTGTTTTAAAACCCTGAACTGCCCTACAATGCCCACTATTTAGGGACCCTAGAGGCTCCATTAAAGGGCCATCGAAGGGTCCCGGTCGAAAGTCGAGCCTGGTTGTGAACCCCGAAAGGACCTTGAAAGCAAGGATTTGGGACGCTTCGGCTAATGGTTCTTTAGGGTTTAAGGGTTTAGGGGTTTAGGGTTTAGGTTTAGGGATTAGGGTATAGGACATAGCCTGAAAAAGCTTCTTACCATGGCTTGAGAACCGGCTTCTTATCATGGTTTATGATATAAGTAACAGCTTCCTATCACGATTTGAGAAATAGCGCATTATCGTTATGTACGAGTTAGCTTCTTCAGAAATTTAGTCTTGACTCTAGCCTGAGGTGTAGGGGGCTTAGGCTTGAAGATTTTAGTGGTCTCTCTGGACAACGACAGGGCCTCAGACCAGCGCGGTCGTCAGCAAAAGGGCCTTGGGCTGGTGCAGTAGACGTAAAGGGAACTCCAGAAAGTTGGAATATGGTTTCAGGGTAGGATACCCTATAATTTACCATAAAGGGTTTAGGATAATCATATTCCAACTTTCTGGAGTTCCCTTTAGTAGCAGGAGCAATACTAGTCTACTAGTTGTCGTCGTCTCCGTCGCCGTTGTGGCAAGAGTAGCAGGAGTAGTGCTGGGCAATTTGCAGTGGTGCAAGAGGGTAGAGGTAGAATTAGAGCGGGTCTTCCAGGTGGGTATTTGTGGTTCAGGCTTCAAGGTACAGATGGAGTGCAAGAAGGTCAATCGATAGTTGGTGCATTCTGGAGGGAGAGGCTGTGACGGTAGGTCACACCCTAAACCCTAAACCCCTAAACCCCAAACTCTAAACCGTCTAAACCCCTAAACCCCTAGACCCCTAAACCCTAAACCCCTAAACCGGGCTGGGACGGGTAGGTCACAAGTAGACTCACTTTGGATCTTGCACGCCAACTGGCTCAGACTACAGTTGTCCTCGCAAACACCTTCTAGGATGCCCAGTAGTACCCTTATTCCCTTTATGTAGTCCTAGGTTCCTTATAAAAGTACCCAATACCAAAAAGAGAGGCCTTTTTATTCTTGGGTTACTGGGTATCCTAGCCTTAGATTCTGTGCTAAACATTGTCCCTGCACCGGAAAAGGACATGGGTAGTTCTCTGAATTTGGGCCCCTTAAAGATTTTTACCCACCCAAAATAGTACGGCACCCGTATACAAAGGACCCGAAAAGTGACCCTGATGTAGAGAAAAACCGTATGATGTGCTTGTCGACTTCTTGACCCATGCTCGAGGGTTCAGGTGTTTGGGGTTTAGGGTTTTGGGGTTTATAGAAGACCTGTTGCAGGACCATCACTAGTCGTTACTGTTCTACATGCTTAACTGCGTACACAAAAGTTGAATAGGTTCCCCGAGCGGTCTATGTACCTGGATGCCCTAAACCCTAAACCCTAAACCGTGGCCAAGACTGCCTCCACAGGGATTCCTTGCAGGTTCAAGTATATACTGCTTGGCCCTGGTGGTACAGAAGACCTCCCACCCCAGGCAAATTGTGCATGTTGTGAGGGCATTTCGCTTTGCAACACGGTTGGATTGCATCTGCGGATTGGAGAAGCCGTTGTGTCGCAGTACATGGGGGATGCGTTGAGGTTTAGTCTTCGAAATCGAACAGCACCGTCGTACTGATGTGGAAGCCATCCGCCTGTAACTGAGGATGTATTTCGACGTCCCGGAAAATGCGACGAGTTTGCGAGCATTTGAGCTTTGCAGCTTGGCATGTTTGTGGTCTAAGCCCCGGAGTGCGCAACACAAACAATTCCCGAACCATGAGCCGCTTCATATTAAGGACCCAAAAAGCACATAAGCATAAGCATTTGATGGGGAATCCCCACCTTATCGGGCTTCATTATCAGGGGATTTATGTGGGATATCCCTACCCTATTTTTTTGCTTATGTGCTTTTTTGGGGCCCAATCATAAGGCTTGAATTCCCAACTGTCTTCTAAGCGCAGCAGAACTGTTTTTTTGTGCTTATCACTCGGCTATTTAGGCACTTGTGCCCTTACCTTGACCTACCCAAACCTAGTTCTGTGTAGGGTCTTCTTAAAGACCTGGTAATTATGGAAATCAGGGAACCGTACAGGCAAATAGGTTCTGGTAGGTTAGGGTAAGGTGAGTGAGTGAGTGAGTGAGTGTCGACCTGGGGTGCTCTCCGGCCTACGGAAACAGTCCCTCTCGCCTTCTTTGCCCCTCCGCATACGTCATCGGGGCTCCGGTGCAGAGTTCAACGCTCCGGGCCCCTCGATCCGAGCCGGGGGTAAGGTTTGGGTAATTAAGCGCTTCGAAGCGACCCTACGACCCTAAACCCCAAACCTTAAGCCCTTAAACCACCAACCTAAGCCCTAAACCTCTAAGCCCTATGAACCCTAAACCGCTAAACCCTATGAAGCCTAAAACCGTATAGAACCCTGCTCGATCCCCTCTAAAGGAACCCCATAGAGATCCCTTTACAGGAACCCTAAACCTCCAAGGGTAAAAGGAGGGACCCTTAACAAGGACCCCTAGGTATACACCCTTCATATAGCTATTATATACCCATTATATAGCCCATTATAGGGTAGGGGTCCCCATTAAGGGTCCCTCCTTTTCCCCGTTGAAAACCGCTTCGAGGCAACCTCCACGGCCTCTGGAGCAGCGAGGTGGGGGTTTCCGAAAATCGGGCACCCTACTTGGAGGATCATGGGACTTAGTAAGTAAGGGCTCCTTAAAGGGATCTATATATAGAGTTCCTTAAAGGGATCTATGGGTTTAATTTGTGGTCTAGGGTCTACTTAGAGGACCATGGGACTTAGTAAGTCAGGTTATAAGTACCTTAATTGTGGCTATAAGTAGTTATGAGTATAGTTACCCTAGTTATAACCCTAGTTACTAAGTCCCATGATCCTTGAAGTAACCTAGTACCCTAAATGGATTTAGGGTTTAGGGACCCTAACTGAGTACCCTAAATCATCGGATCCTTTATTTATAAGGACCCCAAAATAAGGTACCCTAAATAGTAGGATCCTTGTTATAAAGGGTTTAAGCTTACTTAGGGGTACTTAGAAATAACTTGTAATTTTGGTTATTATAATCCCTAAGGAACAGCTAAAAATATAATTTTTGCTAGGGTTCTCAGTTCAGTATAGCTTAGTGTCCCTTTTTTTCGGAAGCTCCCAGGTAGTGAATGTGAGCCCTGGCTCGGCTGCACCGGCGGCCCGGACCGGCTGCACGCTGCTGGGCCGTTACATGTAGGATTTACCTTAAGCCGGAATAGTTAACCTACCTTTTTAGGGTTCCGTATTAATGATTTCCTTATATAAGTCCTTAAAAAGGTAGGGCCCGTAATGCTTTAAGGTTTCTTCCTTAATTGAGGGGTATTGCGCTCTCTGGGTACATTTAGGGTCTAGTGCTTGAGGTTTAGGGCTCAGGATTTAGGGTTTAGGGCTTTGAACTTATAGGGTTTAAGATTTAGGGTTTAGGGCTTTGGGTGTAGGTTTGGGGTTTAGGAGTTAGAATTTAGGGCTGTGGGTTTTGGGAATTGGTGTTCACGGCTTAGGCTTTACCGACGTGATCAATTACAGCACTGTCGTGTTACAGGGTTCCTTCGATGTTCCAGACGAGCTCAATACAGGGTCAGGTCATCGGACCTTTATTCTTGCTGTTTTTTGTGAGCGAAGTTTGAGGGGTCAGGACCTAAAGAACTTGCTGAGTGGGTTGTTGTTAGAATTCGTTGGGAGGGCTCCAGACCCTAATCCTCTAAACCCCTAAACCGCTAATTCCTAAACCTCTACCTTAGACTCCCAAACCTTCTAAGGTTAAACTACTGCCTTAACCCCGAAGAACCTACATTTTTAAGGACTTATATAAAGAAATCATAAGAAGGACCCCTAAAAAGGGTAGGTTATTCAGGGTTAAGGCAAACCATACACCCACTTCGGCCGACAGCCCCAAGCCCTCAGCCAATTTAGTTTGGTGACTCAAAGGGGAAAAGGAGGGACCCTTAATGGGGACCCCTACCCTATAATGGGCTATATAATGGGTATATCATGGCTATATTATGGGCCATTATGGGTATATACCTAGGGGTCCTTATTAGGGGTCCCTCCTTTTACCCTTTGAGTGACGGGTTTAGGGTCTAGGTAGGGTTTAGGGTCGTGAGTTTGGGGAGACTCTAGGTGCTTAAGCCTTACCTAGAGGCTCATACCCTACCCCTTTTTTAGGGCGCCTACTTTTTAAGATTGCAGATCCTAACCGCACAGCTAGGTATCCTAAAAAAGGGGGTAGGGTATGAGCCTATAGGCTGGATTGCCTTATACCCGGCCTACCCTTTGCTCCTCAACAGCAACCTCCGAACGCTGTCTGGTTTGTTGACACTCTTGTACTGCGCGCCCACAAAGAGGAGCCTAGTTTTTGAGATACTGCCTATGCCCAGCAACAGTTGTATATTTAATTATCTTTTTGGTACAGGTTTACAAGGCTCATAAGCATGCCCTCATTTACACTGCTACTCTAAAGGGGTCAGTGCCAAACCTATTTCAATCAAGAAAATTCTGAGCCGTAAGCCTTAAACCCAAACAAGAAAAGTCGAAGCCCTGACACTTCTCCCGAGGTTTCGGCAGTGTGAGGAAGGTACGGCGGTGGCTTGGCGCAGGGCTGTTTTGTCACTGCCGTTCAGGGTTTCCAGGGGTAGTCACGGAGCAAGATGTTTCACTCGTATTTTCCTTTTATGCAAGAGCGGATGCAAGGCAACCGGGTCCAGAAATTTGTGGAATACGGATTTCGGGCTTCAGGTGTAGGGCCCAGGGTTTGCGGAGTTGGGGCTTTCTTCATGGTTATAGGATCTCTTGACTACCTTAAGTAAACGGATCTGTGAAGCTTGTCCGGCTTGGGTCTTGCACGGATTGGACAGGAGTATGTCGTAGATGTTTTCCAGGTTTAGGACTTAAGATTTCGGCTTTGAATTTAGGATTTCGGGTTTATCACAGAGGTCACATAGGTTGAGTTGAACAAGGTATCGAGATTCCGGCCTGATACCCGAAACGACTGCCCAGTCGAACGCCATGAGGACTTGCAAGACAGACTGGTGTAGGGGGAGGATGTACTTGAAGTATAGCGTGATGTGTGAGTAGTCAAAGTAACAAAGTGCAACCTTGTCCAAGTCTCTCTGTGAGTGATCATGTCAGGGTGTAGCAAGTACTTGAAGGATCATGGGACTTAGGTTATAAGTACCTTCGTTGGGGTTATACGTAGTTATAAGTATAGTTACAGTAGTTTATACCCCTAGTTACGAAGTCCCATGATCCTTTGAGAACAGGCTGGCGGCAATAGGCACGGATCTCAACCTCAAACCCTGAACCATCTGGTCTCTAACGCCTCCACGGGGGATGCTCTGTCTCCGACTGTGCCGGTCCTTCACACAAGCATCTAATGCCATGCTGATGGGGATGATGATGATGATGATGGCGATGAAGTAGTTGAGCTTTTCTTTTAAATAATTGTTGTCATAAATACGCTCGCTTCTTGTATTGCTGGTGGCGTGTGCCTGCCGCATTCAGACTGTAATGCGTTGTCGCTATTGCTAGCAGGCCGAGGGCTTTGTAGTGGCCCAAGATCGGGATCCATGGGCGCAGCTTATTCTTCACACACAAGAAGACAAACCATAGAAATTGGTGACCCTCGCCTGGCCTTAATTTCCGCATGTGAAACGCAGTTCGGAAGACAAGCATGATTCCTCAAGGTCCGATTGCGAGGATGCTAGGGAACCTCGGTTGTTGCGGATGCACTGCCTTGGGGTCAAGGCTGGAACTCTGAAAAGCTTCGTAAAGGACTCTGTTTACTTCACTAGGTTCCTCAGGGGTACCCTTTTGCCCTGTTTATTGTATGGTTCCCCTGGTTCCCTTACTGAACCGAACATTAGGAAACAGGGTACCCTTATTACAAAGGGGCTACTCAGCAACCTAGTTCATGACGTGAAGCACTTGGCTGCATTCAGCACCACTGTTCCTCCAAACAGGACCTCGAGCTTAGGGATGCTTGGGCTTCGAAACGCGGGCCATGTTGAACCCAAGCATGTGTTTACGGTTTAGGGTTTAGGGTTACACAGTTTTGTGTTCTTTGGATGAATAGTTAAAAGTTACTGCTGGATCTGAAATAAATGACGAATCAGCAAGTTCGTTGTTCCTGCTCGTTGGGAGGACAACTTGGGCATGCTCACCAAATTTCTCCCAATAGCAAATCGCATTCTGTGAGTCTTTGCAACCAGAGTCTGAGTTGAACGCGAACGTTCGTGACAGTCTTAAATCAAAAAGGCTTGATCAACCACCTTAGTCGAGGTTGAAGGCCTTCGAAGTTTGCAGGAACGCGTTTGCAGGCCCTTCGACCGGCCTCTGATCCAGGAAGGCATACCATCAAGGTATGCAATGTGCAGAGTCCGTAGCGCTTTTGTTTCAGCTGTTAGCGGCTTTTTGCGCCGTCGCCAGGACGAATCAGCAAGCAAGAACAGCCCAGCTACATCACAGCACGGGGTTGCTGCTGTTGCAGTCACATGGTTCGTCAAAATGCGGTAGTTTGCAAGAAGTTCGTCTATCATTGTGCCGGACAGTTTGTTTGTACAGCATGCGTAGCTTTGTGGTCCCGTAAGCGCCTGTAAGTCATCATCTACCGTTCAAGAGGCAGAGATGTGAGTGAGACAGGCATTTGCACGTGCAAGCAACCCCGACAATGCTTCGTCAAGAAGTTTGACATCCAAATTGTTATATGTTCTCGAAATTGGCGCGTTTTCCCGCATCAACAAATTGGGTGCGGAATTCTTACCCGGTTCCTACATAATCATGTAGATGCCTGAGGCTTTTAGCCTCAGTCACCCAGCATTGATGCCAGGCAGACCTTTTACAAGAGTTTGCAAAATGATTCAGTCGAACAAGACACCTTAAGTGATGGGTTTTCCCTTTGTATGTGGTAACATGGTTTTGGAGTCTTTGTGCATACCGAACAGTTCGCTGAATCACATCCCGGGCACTAAACCTCATGAAATGCAAGATCATCAATTCAGACTAAGCCTAAGTCAAAACAGGTCTGAATGTGACGCATCGGAATCAAGAGGTTGAATCAACATGGCAGCACGATTACACAGCCAATGAAAACACGGATTTAGAAGGGTTCTTTTAGCTGTATGTATATGGAGAAGTGGGAATTACGAGATGATTTTATGGTTTCACTCTAAAACCACACAAAAGTTCCATGTACTGAAGACCTCGTACTCTGCCTTACTATACCCCTAAACCCTGAGCCCTAAACCTTCAACTCATGATGACGAACCCCTGCAGCTGAACATCTGAGGTTTCAGCTTGCCAGGCCTTCACAGGCTGCTTCCGACATGGCGGTTTCCGAATATTAGGGGTACCTTATTTTGGGGTCCTTGTAATAAGGATCCTACTACTTAGGGCTCTATATTAGGGTCCCTTATTCTCGGAAACTCCCACATTTTTCATGGGGGCGGTCTATGTTTCAGCGCTCAAGGTCTCTATAAGTTTCAGGGCTTAGGGTTGCGGTGGCAGTGTGAGGTTTTGCGATTTAGGTTTCCCCTTGTAACCGTATCAAACACGTCGTAGGCAAATAGCAGGTTCAGACCCTGTTGTGGTGTACATATCACATGGAATCATAGGTTTTTGAATCGCCGGAGCAGGAAGTCCCGGCCGCCGGTGAGATGCGGAGCATTCCGTCGCCATGGAGAGGAAGGCCCTGCACACGATGGCGGCGAAGTAATAAACAGTGCAGGCGACCCTGACGGGTACTCAAGATGGGCCGGCGTTGGGAGGTGACCTGGAACCAGATCAGCACATCGTAGAGGGGCGGTGGAACCTGGAACCGCCGCAAGAGGAGGCCAGTTGGCTACAGCTCCGGGCCGGAGGAGGGAAAGGTGGAGGAAAGTAAGGCGAGGGGCCCACAAGATTTGCAAGAAGCACGGAGCGTCTGTACTTGGAATTGCGAGTCATGTGCGCAAACCGGAAGACATTCAGATGTTCAGGTCATGTTATCTTGGGCTGAAACCCTAATTCCTGCATCAAAGAGTATGTTAAGGGACGTTTCCTCATTCCTTGCGTCGTTCTTCCTTTTGGACACGATGGGAGTGAGGATGTCGCGCTATCTTCTAATGCAGGAACCCGATTAAGAAACCTTGGGCCTCTGTTCGGGTTCCTTATAATGAACCCTACTATTTTGGGAAGTGCTAGGCCCAGGGTTTCTTAATCAGGTTCCTGCATGTTTCCCTTAGTCCTAAACCCTGCAATCCCTGAGTCCTAGTTTCTAGCTGCTGCACACTAAACCCTAAACCGTCGAGTCCCCGTTCCAAATAAGACCCAATAACTTGTTTCTTAATCAGGTTCCTACATTAGTGTTTATAACAGGTCCCAGGAGCCGCATCCTAGGGTTCTTGTTTCAGGGTCGTAGGGTTTAGGGTTAGGGTTTAGGGTTTATAGGGTTTGGGGTTTAGGATTTAGGGTTTAGGGTTAATTTAGGGTCTAGGGTTGAGGATTTACGGTCGGCGTTGCACATTTTGTTTGGCGAGGGTCTTGCTGCTAGCGAGGAGCACACGCGTTCATTAAGCGTGGGCCCAGGCCATGCTTCCAAAGACAGAAGAGAATCAGAAAATCTATGTAAAACATCATTAGAGTTCTATTTAAGATATAGAGCGTAATTAAAACACTACAGCATAGTGTTATCCCGACCCTGACCATACGGGTCCGAATACTTGCACAGCGTTTACTCAGGCCCAAGACGTACCCTAGTTTCTGGTCTTTCAAAAAGCCACTAAAAAGGAACACAGCATGCATCATTGGGCTTTTACGGATTTTACGGCGCGGACACAAAAGCCAAAGCCCAAACCCAGCAGAAGCAGAAACGTATAAAGCTTTTGACAACCTGGTAACACCCAATAGCAGCGAGCTAGGCCCCTTCAGCAACTGTACCATAGGGGCCTAAAGAAATTGCCTATACTATTTCGGGGGCTGCTTATCAGAAATATGGACAATTGCCAAAAACCCTATTCAAGTTGTTGAGGCTCCTCCTATGTCCTATGTCAACCCCAACCCAAGTCGCGACGACAACTGGCGTCAGGTGAGCTGCAGAGACGCGAGAACTTCCAGCCCAAGGTCGATCCGACAGGCAATGGATGCCCGAAGGGTCCTAGGTACTGTTTATCGGGAATACTTCCCCAAATCATAGTAGTAATTCCTAATATAGAAACCCTACATTCTACTATATAGGTATTTCGGACCCATTAGGATGGCGCGCACTTTTGAGGGCCTTAATAGTAAGAGTAGGAGTGGGGGGGGTGGTATATTATGCTATAATCTGAATAAGGATCCCCCAAAACCCTCTTGTCATTATTTAGTAAGGCCCCTACATTGCGGAGTTGAGGTTGTAGTGTTCCGGGCATTTGGGGGGTCTAACTGTTGAGCTTCGAGTTAAACCCTCGCCACAAACGAGTAGGTAAGGCTTGGATGAAGAACGAGTTTTCTCTTTGACGCCTCGAAGCCCAGCACACGTTTCCCTAGGTTTTCAGGTTTCCCTAAGAGTCCATGCTCTCATTTGTTTTAAGAGTTATTGTAAGACAAGGGTTATAAAGGGTTCAAGTCATACTCGCATGGTATACACTTGGGCCTGAATGTACTCCCTATGTAGATACTGTGGCTTACAAATATATACGTTTGGGGCAGATGGATCCTCACACCCTACACCCTATCGTCTTTACAGAACCCTTATTCGAGCACTTGAAGGAACCCAGCCCCTCCAAAGCCTCTAGGCACATACCCCAAAGCCCATGAAGGCAAGCATACCCCATACCTGCTGCTCAACGGCACCAGAGCCACGATTGTGGTCGGCACCGGTGCAACTCCCGGAGCCCTGGAGTGAGTTTGGGTTTAGGGGTTTGGGGGTTTAGGGTTAGGGTTTGGGGGTTTAGGTTTAGGGGACAAGGGTTGAGGGGTTTAGGATTTGTGGCTTAGGGTTTACCCTAAGGCTCCTAACAGGGTCTTGAGCCTTCTGGGGAGCGTTTCGGCTTTGGGGGCGAGGGTTTGGGACCTCACTACAAGGGTCCAAGAGCCTCAGGGTAGGCTTCAACATAGGGGTCGGAGTATGTTTGGGAGTCGTGTCCCTTTATACTTAGACCCGATTGCAACTCTACTATAGTTACTGGACCCGTCCCCGACACCCTGTTCTAGTTTGTAAGGCTCCTTTTGTTGACAGCAGAGCTCAGCTAAAGTGTGTATAGCGGTTCTACAGGCTTTTCACAGGGCTTTGCAAGGGTTATGTAAGGTGCTACGAGTAGTTGTAGTTCAGGGATTCCGGCTCATTCACATGACTTTAGTTGCTGAGCTCAAGATCTTGCATTGGTGCGCTTCACTGCGAACTTAGATAGCCATTGGCATAGAAGAACTGTAAACTTGTTGGCCTTATGGATCTGATCGATCTTCGAAAGTTTGGGCCATGTATTTGGGGCTGGATGATTGAAGAAGAACCCTTAAAGGAACCCTTATAGATCAGTTTAAAGCCTGCGAAGGAAACCAGGGCTTGTCAAGAATTGAACAAAATCCTAAACCTGAAACCCTAACCGGATCCCTTTAAAGGAGCCCTAGAAAAGCCTAAACACCCACTCTGCCTGCGAAGGACACGAGGGCAGCTTAGTGCACCCAATGGAGCCCTCCGATGACAAGAGCTTGGTGCACTGGATTTCGCACATCTATGCCGCCAGGCTCCTCTGTAATTAGTCCTAGGTTCCTTATAAAGTTACCCAATACCAAAAAGGGAGCCCATTTTATTCCTAGGTTACTGGGCATCCTAATTAGGGGTTTATAGGGTTTAGGGTTTAGGGTTCCCTGTAAAGGGCTCCGTAAGGGTTCTTTAAGGGATCTAGTCTATAGGATTTAGGGTTTGGGCTGTAGTAGCCCTAAGGGTCCAAGTGCCTAATAACCGTATACTCTATTTATTTAACGTAAACCTAGCTAACCCTGGTCAGCTTAGGGTGTTTTGCTGAAGACGGAGCAATAGGAAAACGGCTGCCCTGTTTAAAGTGGTTGAGGGGTTCAGGGTTTCTTCGAACTCAGAGCTTATAAGGCCAGTTCCGAGTGTTACCCCAGGTTGCTCCGCGGCGTCGAAAGGGATTTCAATTTGCATCTCTATTTGCGAGGCTAGGCCCTACTTGGAGGTCCAGAGGACCTAGTAAGTCGGTTATAAGTAGGGTTGTAATTGGGGCACCTCCATTTAGGGGACTTGGAACTCTACTTATAACCTACTTACTAAGTTTCCTGGGCCTCTAAGTAAACCCTAAACCCCAAGACCCCAAAACCTTGAACCCGTCCTCCCTGGCTACAGAAGGCGCGGGCTTTAGGCCGAGTGGACGGGACCCACAATGCCCGTATGAAGCAAGCATTGGAACCTACTGGACCTACTCCCTTGTTATTATGAGTGTTTCATGGTTTGTCGTTCTAAATACCCTTAAGCCCTTTCCATCCTAAACCCTTGTAGTTGGGTGTATTTCGCTGTTGCTTGTTTCATACATCGGGGGCGTTTCTATGTGCTAAACCTTGAACCTCGAAATGCGCCGGACAGGCATGAGGTGTGGTAGGATAAGTAATCCTTGCACTGCATCTGTCCCTCCAACAGAACTCCTGCCAGATCCATGACCCTAAACCCAGGCCCTAAACCCTGGCTTGCGTTCAAAGGGCTTCTTCCAAGGGTTCTGCATCGGCTTTGGATTTCCCTAAGGGTCCATGTGCCCAACTGGGGTTCCTTTAAGGGTTACTATAAGGGTTACTATAAGGGTTCTATAAGGGATCTATAAGAGTTCTATAGTTCAAGGGTCCATGCACCCAAATAGTATATACTGCGGGCCCAATGTACCCATATAGGGACTACATTAAGGCCAATGTATATACTATGGAGGTACATGGACCCTTCCTTAGGCTTCAGGATTTTCAGATTTCCGGTCGTGGGGGCTTAGAGTTTAGAGCTTCAGGATTGCAGGGATCTGATGTAGGTGTGCTTTTTGGATAGCTGTATTTTCTCGTTGGGATGCCCGCCATATTACCCGACACCCTGGAGGGCCCAGGTAAGTAGCATACTGGAGGAGGTATTTATCTTTTCGCTTGTAGCCCTAAACCCTAAGCCACTGCAGGGTTTCAGTTTCGCTTTCCCTGGGCATCTAAGGACTCATATATTAAGGCTTTTGGGCCCAAAGACCATACTATGTAAGGATTTTGGGCTATTTTGATGCCCATGGTTTCGGAGAATGTTCTGGGAAGCCCGCATTCTGAGCCCTTCATTTCAACCCCAAGCTGCAAACCCCATGTATCATGATACTGCGTAGCCTTACAGAATAACGCTTGCAGAGTATCTCTCCCTCTCTGTCTCTCGTTCTCTCTCGTTTTTTCTTTCTCCCTCTCTCTCTCTCTCTCTCTCTCTCTCTCTCTCTCTCTCTCTCTCTCTCTCTCTCTCTCTCTCTCTCTCTCTCTCTCTCTCTCTATATATATATAAACATATCTATCAATATAGATAGATATAGATCTATGCGTGTGTACATTATTGGTAGTGCTATCATGTCCTGTACTGTTGGCATTGCTATAATTTCCTTTTTGTAATTACCAGCTATTGTGGATATAGCTGTTAACATTGTCATTATTGTTACTGTTATCGGTATGTTTATCGTTATTGATGGTGCTATCGGTATCGGTATGGGTATGTGTATCGGTATTGACTGTTGCTGTTATTGCCTAAAGTACTGTGGTCTTCACTATCATGATAACCTGAACAAACAGTTCTAATCATAATTATACTTATAACAACTATTATAGTTCTATTTCTTATGACGATTACTGACTATTGTTTTTTGTTATGTTATTGTTGTTGTTAGTAGTACCATCATCATAGATTTTCACTGTAGTTATTGTCAACGTTATTGTGCTTTATGTAAATTTTGATATTACAAATGCTGTTATTGTTATCATTCTCGTTATTGTTGATATGTGTGTGTGTTTTTAGGATAAATGAATATCTACATGTTCTTATATATTTGTATGTTGAAAGTCTTGCAAGCTGAGGCTGTGGACGACTTGGGCAACCTGGTGGCCTTTTGCGACTTGTTCCTTGGTGCGCGGTTGAGGGATTTGAGGGCATTTTTAAAGGATCATGGGACTAATCAGCCAGGCCTATCAAGTGCAGAAACGATCATGATAATGGTTGCATGGGACCCAACAGAAGCATTGGCCACATTGGGCCTCGCAGGGCACCTCCTGAAGCAAGTCTTGAACCTCTCCAGCTGGTCCCCATACCCTGGGTCGCAGCCACAGACCCGAAGCCGTATCTGAACATCCCTGGGCCTGTATCTCCTGCAATCCTCAAGTCGGATAATGCCCCGGAAACCTCCTGCATCGGCTACGCGGCAAGATGGTGCAACGGCTGCGACGTTAGCAGAATTGACCCTGCAAACGCGAAGGGACTCCCCTCGTTTTTAGAAGCCCGTTGTAGCTGAGCACTGGGTGCAGATCTTCGACCGTGAGGAGACCCTACCTGTCCGAGTTCCGACCCGTGGATGAGTTTCCGCGACAACACAGACAGGAACAAGGAGCAGCAGTGGCTGCGCTGGGCCGCGGACAACCCCATGGCATAATCTTCACACGTCGCACAAGTGGAGCCTTGTGCAGTTAAGGCCTTACAGCGAATACAAGGAAGTTCCTGGGATTCAAAAAAATATATGCTGGTGATGAGGTCGTGCTTCCCAAGGGCAACATTGGAATCGGGTCTGCGAAGAGCAGACAAGCTCGGCGATGTCATTAAAAGCTTTTAGGACGTTTCTATGACCAATGTCAAGCAACTATACTCACTTTGACTTTCAACCCCAAATACGGTACTTCTGTTCTTACTTACTAAGTATCGTGGTCCTTAGAACCCACAACCCCTATTGATTCCATAAAGAACCTTTGACACCCAAACCCGTTAAGCAACCCGCTATAACTCCAGTTCGCGGGGGTTTGGGGACCCAGGAAATCTTGCAGTTTGCGGCCGCCATCATATAGGGCATCATAGTATCAGGGTATAAGGCCCCCTACTTCCTCGTGTTTGAGGGTTTCGGGGTAAACCCCAAGCCGTAGACAGCCCGAAGCCCGAGACTTTAAAGGTTAACCGCAAGTGCTATAGCATCCTGAGTAAACTACTAGTGCTATGCTCCGAGTATAACTACCAGGACCCCCTAATGGCCCTTTAATGGAGCCCTTATGGTCCTTAATAGCGGGTATTTAGGGCATAGTAAAGGCTAGTTGGAGGGTCCAGGTAGAGTAGGATTCACCCCAAAACCCATTTTATTTGCTAAAGAACCGAAACCCTAAATTCCGGATGGAACATGAACGGAGCCCTTACAGGAGCTCTTTAACGAAACCCGTAAAGGAACCTTTGAACGGAACCCCTTAGAGGGAACCCCTTCCAGCAAAGCAACTATAAAAGCCAAATTCACTACCAATCATTATTCTTACGGTTCCTGATTATAGATATACGTTAAAACAGTGCAAAGCCCATTCTAAGTGTCAAGGCCCCTATATTACCTAGCTCCTCCAATGTTCCACGCAGGCTCCAGACCCGGGATCCAAAACCTTACCTTTTTAGGGTTTTTGGGTTTAGGGATTTTGGGGTTTAGGGTTTTGGGGTTCGGAGTTTGGGGTCTAGGATCTCGGGTCTTGGGCTTAGGGTTTCAACTGAGGAGTCATTCCCTACTATCTTGTAGGCGAAGCTTCAGGGAGTCGTCAGCTGTAAACCCTTGAGCTCGATTCATCAACCCTAAACCCTAACCTAACCCGTAAACCTCGTAAGCTGATTCGCCCGAAACCTTGAGCCCTGAGATTGCAAATGAGGCTGCCAACGGACCCTGCGCCGGCCACGTGTACCTTCGAGGTCGCTTGGGTGAGTAGTTTCACCAAGGGTCCCTAAACCCTAAACCCCTAAACCCTAGACCCCTAAACCCCTAAACCCCTAAACCCCTAAACCCCTAAACCCCTAACCCCTAACCATAATCAGATAGTACCCTGAACTCAAAACCCGGGGTCGCACCGTTCTTAAATAGGTGCTACGTACAATAAGGCCAGAGTAGATACTATACGAGGTCAGGGACTCGTTTGACCCCTGCATCATTTAAGAGTTTCCGAAATTTAGGGGCACCTTATTTTGGCGGTCTTTATAATAAGACTCCTACTATTTGGGGTATTATACTAGGGTCCCCCATTTTCGGAAGCTCCCATTTCGAGGACCCTTATGGAACCTTGACGTCCTGATAGAGCCCGTATAGTGTTCCGTCTAGTAAACCTTAAAGGTTTAGGGTTTAGGGAGCCATTACAGTATTCCTTATAGAAGTGCTGATATATAGAAGCCTCATAATGAGCACTCCTTGTAGTAACCCTTAAAACAACCCCTAAAGGAACCCCGTAAAGGCACCCCTTAAGGGCACCTGTTAAAGAGATGAGGATATGGACCCTTAGGGTCTGTTTCGACAATTCTCCCGGGGATTTCGTTGGAGGGCTTAAAGCCATCGCAAGAAATCCTAAGCCATACGACAGCTCAGGTTAGGGTTTGGGGTTTTTGGAGGATCAGAGCTGGGCTGTCGGGTACCGGGCTTACGGATGAGAGCCTTGGGTTTGCGGGTCTGGGCTTCAGGGTTTACGTAGGGTTGTTGAAGTTTTAGGTTATACTTGGACGCTCAAGAAGAACCTGCCTTCTCGGGGCTCCTTGTTATGATTTCTTTATATACTTAAAGGATCATGGGACTTAGTAACAAGGGATTATAATTCGGCTAACTATACTTATAACTACTTATAATTCGGGTTAAGGTACTTGTAACCTTACTTACTAAGTCCCATGATCCTCCAAGTACATCTGCAAGAATAAAGGTAGGTTGCTTATGGTCCAGGTAGCCCATAAATGCAAAACCTTCACAAGCCTTAACCCGATAAGGCCTTTAGGCTCATACTCCCCATAGTATAGGGGCCCGGGCCGCTACTTGACCCTCCCTTCGGACGGCCCCTCACCATGGCAGTGCCCTGCGAGGGCACCGATGGCTGTGGCCATGCTATGAAGTGCTTCAACGTCGGAGCCAAGACCTTAAGGGTCCATGTACCCAAATAGTATAGACATTGGCTTTAATGTAGTCCCTAGCCAAAGTATAGGTACATGGACCTTTAGGGAGAAACAACGTGCTCGAAGTGGAGGCATTGTACTAGCGACAATTGGCAGAGCACTTGCCGGGATCACTAATGCAGGTGGGCAGGAGGCCGGCAACGTGCCGGGGCCATCCGGGGCCCAGGTGTTCCAGGACGTCGAGAGACCGGTGGACCTGCTTGGGAGCGGGCCAACCTGTCCAGCGTGGTCGCTTCGTGGAAAGCGGGATCGACAGAGGACCCGAAAAGCTGCTGATCATTGATGCTGGGTCACTTGGTCCCTACACAGAGGCCTTAAACACTAAACCCTTTAAGCCGTGCAGCTTGCTCTCGATCCACACGCAGAAGATGTCGAACACTTGGAATCCTACGCTGTGGAGCCTAGTTTGCCCTAAGGCTTCATGCACCAGCATAGTATATGCTTAGGCTGTACAGTAGCCATATAGAAGCCCCTTCAAGGCCTAAGTACATACAGTCAAGAGACCTCGTGTGTTAGGGCTGGAGTGGAGGTCACAATAGTTAGAATGAGGCTCGGTTACAATATTTGTACACGTTTCAATAGCCGCTTAAATCCTCTTTCTAACGAAAAACGGCTCACGAATTAGGAATGATGGAAGAAGTCCTACCCACAAAGCCCAGCACCTCTTAATTAAGGAGTTATTCTTCGTAAATAACAATAATTCGAATTCAGCCCCCACCCCATTAACCCTAAAGGCATCTTAAGTCTTAAAGCAGGCAGAAGCACCCTTCAACAAGCACGAGTAAAAAAACGCATGGCATGAGATCTTCAAACCAACAAGAACGACAAAACAAAGGAAGAAAGCAAACACGGGCACACACGCAGACACAGAACCCTTGACACAGTCATAAAAAAAAGAAACACAGCCACACAAACAGTGGATTGGGTCCGAAGACTTATAATCGTATCCGTTGGACCCCTCAACAGTATTCTGCTTGTTAAGGCACTTTGTTCAAGCTTCAAAAGCGGCAGGTACCAGAAGGAAGTTAAACTAAGTTACCATAACCTTCCTGCAGTAAGTTTTGACATTCTGCTTGCGCTATTATTGTAATTTGCAGTAAGCTCCTTAACTTTAAACCCTAAATTTGAATGTTAAACCCTAAACCCTAAACAAGAACGCAGACACACAACGCGGCAGGTGCCAGAAGGAATCGGCTTCCTCAGGCCGACAGAGGGACCGACTTGGCTCTGGTTTAGTAGAAGCCCGAACGGGTTTAGGGTTTAGGGTTTTAGGGTTTCAGGGTTTAGGGTTTAGGGTTTAGGGTTTTAGGGTTTAGGGTTTAGGGTTTAAGGTTTAGGGTTTTAGGGTTTAAGGCTCAGGGTTTTAGGGTTTTAGGGTTTAGGGTTTTAGGGTTTTCGGGTTTACAGTAGAAGCCCAAAAGTTGGAAACCCAAAAGAGGGAACCACAGCACGAGTTGGACTTAATCCTGTCTCCAACTTTATGGGGTTTACGGTAATATGATGGTTTCTCTCAGATACCCAATGGGAGAACTTTAGACTTTGTGCTTTCTGGCCCTATGGACTTTGTCTAAGTTGAGAAGTTTAATCTTTTCCGGGCCCGTTTATTTAAGGAGAGACTTCTTGTGCTTATAGCGTGCCTTCATGAAGGTTCTAAATGGGTTTCTCAACGTCTTGGGATACCTCTGGCGTGTAGGGGTGAGTTGATTGTATAAGGAATATTGACGAGGCTTAGGGTTTGGGAATTATGGGCTCGGGCTGAGAGTTTCTTCTGATATGGTATGTTTTAATGGTGTAGGATTTAGGTTCGCTGATATGTGAGGCATATTTTTCGACTGGCATCTAGGAGTTCTATTAAAGTTTTCTGAAAACGTTGTTGGCGCAATGGTTTGGGATTCTTCCAAGATTTGGGTAGCTTTGCTTCGGAGCCTTTACCATATCGATCCTGCAGTCTAGAATTTTTACTGATGATACCTCTGGAACCAGTTGAATCAAACCCTGAAAGAAGCCTAGGAGTGTAGGAGCTGAGGGGGTGAAAATTCGGCCTTCGACTGTCAGACGTTTGGTATTCAGGGGTGTAGACTGCAAGGGTATAGTGGCTTGTGGCTTGATGTTTCAGGTTCAAGCCCCATATAACAGCCTCATATAGTACGGTCTTTGGGCCCAAGAACCTTAATAGCTGAGTCCTTAGATCCCGGCTCTATTTGTTTAAGGATTGTGTCTTCGAGGCAAGGGATACTTCGTTCCCTAAGACCCCAAACCTAAACCCCAACCCTCATCCCTAGTACTCCTAAACCCCGAGTCCTCAGCCGCAAAAAGGGGGTTTCCGAAAATAGGGGACCCTAATATAGTACCCTAAATAGTAGGATCCTGATTATAAGGATCCAGAATAAGGTCCCCAGCCCGAAACCCTAAACCCAAGAGATCCCTTATAGGAACCCTTAAAGGAACCCTTATAGATCCCTCTAAAAGGTGCCCCTAATTTTCGGAAACTCCCAAAACTAAAAACATCTCGAAACTCTGTCTTCCAACAACACCAAAGCCTGGACCCTCAGCCCTGAAGACCCAACTGCTCAAACCCAACCCATCCAATAATTAGAAGGGAATGATGTTCATGACAATAGTCATAATCATGATAATCACTATAAACTATAACAGCAGCAATAATCATGGCAGCAATAACAGTGAAATTGATGGTACGACGGTTGATGATATAAATCCTGCATTGCCTTAAGGACCCCAAACTATGGAATTATGGTATATTCCTTTTTTTATGGGTCATGCAGGATTTATATCATCAACCGTAGCAATATCGAGAACCGCAATAGCAACGACAAGCCGGAGGCCGTTCGAGTATTGCAACGTGCATGGCCTGTACATGGGCGATATCGTGCAGGCCGTTAACGGGGTGCACCTACCTAGACCCCCAAAGTAGGTAAAATAATGGCCCAAAACCTATAAAAGGCTATTATTCTGCATACTTTTGGGGTCCAGGTAGAGAGCGGTCGAGCGTGGGGCCTGGGTTTGGATTTAAAGTTTTGATGCTTTCTACTCGGGTTAGGATCGAGCCTTCTGTTCACTTACGGGTTCCATAGGGCCCTCGATGACGGACGGAGGGGGAGGGTATGACCGGTTTGGTAGGGCTTGTGATTCAGGGTTCAGTACTATAAGGAATTTCAGGATGAGTAAGAAAGCGCTCTGATGGCAACCGTCGAACAGGCTACCATAACCTTCCGTTGGGGGCAGTACTAAGTTACTGTTATTTTGAATATCTGAAACCATTCTTAAGTTGTCGGGGGATTTGGGGATTAATGGTTTGAAGGTTCTGGCTTCGCTTGCGCGGGTTCAGGGCTGCAGGGTTCCCATGTTAGGAGGAGGGCTGGATACTTTCCAACCCAAAGGCCTCACTTACCTAAAACTTACACAGGCCCCTCATGAGCGGGTTCCCACATAGGAACTTTAAGGCCTATATTCCTACTATATATGCGCATGGAGCCTTAGTGGGGAGCGGGGTTAAACCCTAAACCCTAAACGGTGGAGGTCCCAGACAAACCATGACAAACACCATGCTATACCCCGGTCAGAATCACACCGAAGCTACCAACCCCAACCCAAAAGCTCAAGCGCGAGGCTCTATACCCCTTACCAAGCATGCCAAAAACTCCCAAGTACCTACAAAATAGGACCACGTACTCGTTTTGGTTTCAAGAAGGAGTGCAGGACTCAGAATGAGGCGTGCAACAGCCAGAATACCTGGACCTTAAAAGTATGTAGAAGAATAGCCTTTTATAGGTTTGGGGCCATTATTTTACCTACTTTTGGGGGTTTAGGTAAGGAAACTGAGGGTCTTCAAAGCAAGATCTGGGTGATTCTCGCAAGGGAAAAACTTGGCCGTCGAGGACCCCCAAGCTCCACCAAGCCTCAAGCCGCTTTACAGATAGGGGGTTTTGGGTTTAGGATTAAGGGTTTAGGATTTAGAATTTAGGGTTTAGGCAGTAGCGCTACCTTGTTTGGGACGTTAGATAGGGGTTGTGTTTTGCCGAGTCCCCCTTATGCCCTTGGCTTGCTCAGATGTCTTCCACGGATCTTAGAATTAGATCCCCCCACCCACCAGACATGACGTCCTACCATAATCTAGGGCAAATAGGACACTTTCAGAGGCTCTACTTGGAGACCCATGGGTAGTTATAAGTGGAGTTATAAGTCCCGTTATACGGGTTGTATTCATACTTACCCGACATATGACTATAACCACCCATGGACCTCCAAGTATAAACCGCCAAAGCCCCGAACCCGACAAATTTGAACCCTTATCCCAAGCTACAAGCCCCTAGAGCCACCTGGACCCCCCCCCCCCCCCCCCCCCCCCCCATTTACTTGTCCTTAATACCTCAAGTTACCCTCGCGATGAGGTGCGGGGTCTTCAGGGTCCTGGTAACACCCCCAGAGGCTCCATGTACCCATGTAAAATTATGGTCCTTTTTTGGGTCCCTATTATAATGCGGCACCTAATATTCAGGGTACCCAAAAAAGAAACCATAATTTTGACAACCACCCATATAGTAGGTACTTAGGCCTTGTAAAGTACGTACGTAGGGACCCCTTTAAATTAAAAGCCTAAGTACTTACCGTATGGGCCCATGGAGTCTTGCGGAAGACTTAGTATAGTGGGCCCCGAAACCCTATTCTACTGATTCTACTGATTAAGGCCCCACTCCCTATATAAGGCTTTTGGGCTATTTTGATCCCTAGGTATATTAACCGGGAGGTGTCTAGCTGGAATCCCAGCGCCCAGCGCCAGTGCTTCAAAAGAGAATGCCCCGCGCCAAGCTGCAGCTTGCTCAAGGGCCGATAATACCTAGGGTAATATTCATAGAAGCAAGCCCAGCCGTTCTGAGGTTTTGGGGTTTCAGGGTTTAGAAGTTGAAAGAGATTAGGGTTTATAGGGCCCAGGGATTCCAAAAGGGGGTCATAAGTTGTTCATAAGGGTGTTGTATGGGGTAGGGGAGTCATGTGGGTCGTTGTCAATATTATGGTCCCTTTCTGGGTACCCTAAATTTTAGGTGCCGTATTATAAGAAGGACGCAAAAAGGAACCCTAATTTTGACAACTGCCCATGTGGTTTAGCAGCAAAGTTATACATGCGAGAACCTACCTCGGGCCATTAAGGTACAAGGTTGTGCTTCTATACTCGCCTTGAGCCCTAAACCCCGCAGTGTCCTTGAGATCCATTGGGCCTTGCAGAAGCCAAGCCTTTTCCCGAAAGCCCCATACCCCTCAATCAGCAAATGCTCCTCCTTAGATTATTATGTAAGGCTTTGTGGGGATCCAATGGCCTGCTTGCTATGGGTTACGGTTATGCCTTATGGTCAGGTGTCACAGTCACCTTTGTTCACACCACCGTCCTTTCTTCGCAGCATGGCCTGCAGGGATCATGCTTCCCTGTGGAAGTGGGTTGATGCGTACATGGGTATTTATCAAAATTATGGTCCCGTTTCAGGTACCCTAAATAGAGGTGCCGTACTACATTAGGGACCCAAAAAGGGACTCTAGTTTTGACAAACCACCCACATTGTATGTTCATGGAAGTGGCCTGAGAAATCGGATGAGCAGGGGCCTTTGTCATATTCCCTGCCTAGATATAATATATCCTAGCCGTATGCCCAGGACCCCGTCCCACTTCAGATCTGGGTCCCTGGGTCTGAGTTCTCCTTCAGGAATTTGGGACTTAAGTTGCCAGCATAAGGATCGGTAAAGAGAAATACGGCTGATGATATAAATCCTGCATTACCCTTGATAAGGAATATACCGTAATTCCCATATTTTAGGGTCCTTAGGGTCATGCAGGATTGATATCATCAACAGTAGGGTTTCCTCATTATGCTAAGGGCATAATGAGAATGAGGCTTACAGCAATGACAACTAAACTGTACTCGAAGCTTCATCGGCCAAAAGTCCATGACACTGTCTTCAGGTTTGAGCCAGGAAGTCACCAAAGACCGATGTTGGCAGAAGGGCTGTACTCAGCTAGGTTTAAGGCTTATAAGGGTCTTACAAGAGTTTTAGCGATTTTTCGCGAGGCTGCCAAGAGGTAGACTGGGGCTCGGCCATGTATTCTGGTTTGGCTAGTGGAGCCCTTAACTGGGCTTTAGAGTACCATACTTTAATACTTTTTTGGGGATCTGGTACTTAAAGGTAACCAATTATGAAAAAAAGTCTATACTTTTTTCTCCCAGGTTACTTCAAAGCCCAGTTAAGGAATCGCCAAGCCACTGCTGTTCCCAAGGCTCTGCCAGCCACCCCTCCTTGGGCCCAACAGCCCCGCGCAGCACCGCCGTGGAGGTGTGGAGTTGACCTCCAAAAAGCCATAGCAAATGGGCTATATAATCAGTATATAATAGCTATATTAAGGGGGTTCCTTTAAAGGGGGTCTATAAGGACTACTAGAAGGGGCTATATTGAGGATTTAGGGTTTAGGGTTTAGTTTATCATGGGCTATATAATGGGTATATCATAGCTATATTAAGGGTATATACCTAGGGGTCCTATCAAGGGTCCCTCCTTTTGCCCTCGGAAAACAGACCAAGTCTTCAGTGGTTGTAGAGGGGCCTGCAAGGTTCCTTTTCCCTTACAGTGTTGTGTGTGATATAGTTGGATCCATGTGTGCTTCTTCAGGGTTTACGGCTCTCAGGTTTAAAGTACTTTGGCTTTGGTGTTCTGTGTTCCGAGTGTGGGATTTAGGGCATGGTTTACGGACGATCGAGTTTCGGTTATAGGGTGAGGAGATCTATCCCAAGCCAACTTGTGTGCTGAGCACAGGCTGGTTCGCCGACATAGCTTGGTGTGCTGCTTGGGCCCGAGGTCCAGAGACAGTGAACAGTAGAACAGGAACTACCCTGGACTCCAAAGCGTATTGTTTCAAGGGTTTACCTTATGATCAACCCAGGTGTCATCAACCAATGAGCTATAACCTCCAATTTTGGCAGGGCTTGGGGCCACAGGTATAAACTACAAACGTTGTACTCCAGAATGGCCATACTCGACCCGTGCTTGTCGATACCCCTAAGACTCCAAGTATGCAAATAGTACCTACTTTGGGGCCCAATGTCTATAAATAGTACCTACTTTGAGCTATTTGGAGTCCTAGGGTACTGGTAGCCTATATCGGGACTCTAGAGCTGCGTATGGACCGCGCCGGCAGGCCATGATTCAGCAACAGCAGCTGGCCAGTGCCAGGACGTCCTGTTCAACTCAGGGTCTAAGGACCCAAGACTTAGGTAGGAGGGTGTAGAATAGATATGTAGGCTACTTATAATTACTCACTATATGTACCATTGTAGTTCATTTTTTGGTTCACCAAGTCTACCTGAGTGTACCATCCTAACTGTAACGACTGGCCAACCAAGACAAACCTGTTCTGATTTATTATGGCCCCTAGATTAGGTACCTGCACTCCTAGGTCCTAGGGTTCGGTATATGCATTCCGTAGTCGAGGGCCTAGAGGAACTGCTTCGGGGGTGGACTAAGACTTTACGCGAGCTTCGGAAGAAGTTGAATGACCTTAACGTAGTACGGTTGATGATATAAATCCTGCATTGCCTGTAAAATTGGGAAGACACCATAATTCCCAAAGTTTCGGGTCATTAAGAGAATGCAGGATTCATATGATCAACCGGAGGATCCCAGTAGCTCTCAAGAAATGGACCCCTAAATGCAATAGCTCCTCGAAATGCAAACGGCTTGGGAGTTGTGGGGCTTCCGGGCTTAGGAAAGCTGAAGTAGACAGAAACGCAAACACCGACCCTCAATGCCGATCGATGTTTGCAAGATGATCCTATAACCTCAACACGCTAATGATGCCCTAAAGATCCAACCCCAGCCGATTTGGGAACAACTGTCATTCAGCCTTGAGCCTTTGAGTCTACCCCCTGCCCACCACCACCGATTACCTAATGGACATTTGGCTCAGACAATGCCCCCTACAGGTGGGCACATAAACGACCCAGGGCCCCAAGCCCTAATTAGCCCTGAACCCTAAACCCCGTGGTGGGCTCATAAAGGACCTTAATGTCCATACTATGGCAGGTCTTTACCCTAAACCCGAAGACTGAAACCCCTAAAGCCCCGAAGCCCCGAACCCAAAGCCCTAACAAACCCACATAATATCCTAAGGGTCTAGAATAGGGGTTTAGGGTTTAGGGTTTAGGGTTTAGGGTATGAGAAGGTACTACATTGAGGTAGTGACAAGCAGTGACGTTGCCTTCAGCGCTTGCCAAGTCGCATCGGGTCAGATGTACTCCGGCTTTGTGCTCTGCCTCGGTGAACGCAAACGCACTGCTGCACAAGGTGAAGCCCACCTTCGTTGACGTCGAACACCACTTGTGTCACTGAATTAAGCAGCGGCCACTTGGAGGATCATAGGCAAAAAGTTGCCGGAGGGTGGCTCCTGGAAGGTCACGGGAATGAACTCCTGCAGAATTTCACCGCGCAGCAGAGTGTAGGAATGATCTAGAACGCCGAAAAACCAAAAAGGGTGAAGCGCGGTCTCAAGTTTGACTTTGAGCACACCAATATACACCAATGGTGAGACCGACGCGAAGTACACCTTGATATTCCTGGCGAAGGCAATTTGTGAACCCCGGTAGCACCGTTCTGACGAGCAGACATGTAGTGATGAGTCCCCCGCCCATGCACGTTGACCCTGAATTCTATGATCACTGATGCACTCTTGTCGCTTTAGAGGGCTCAGCAGCGTGGTATCATCATGAACACGAACACTCCGTGCATGCCTCGTACTATATGAAACAACCGTGATCCAACGAGAGTGCCCCGCGTGAGCCGCAAAATCTTCGTTTCCACGTTTCCGCCCACTGAAAGCGAGGTTAAACTGGGATTGTCCGTGTCTGGACACCGGGATCGCCTGCTTCTGCAAACGGGATGACATTTGCAAACAGCCAATGCAAGTTCTTTTCCCGGATCTGCAGGCTTCCGCAATTCCAAAGCTTAAACAGGAGCATCTTAATAGGCATAGTTAGTGGGAGAACTGCTGGAGAGAAGATGCCACAGTTGCGCAATATTTTGATTTTAGTTGTTCGTTTATGGTCATAGAGGTTGTCGTGTAGCGCATTTACTCATTGCACCTCATAAATGAAGGGATCCTCTGCCACAGCTTGGGTTCTTGAGTTTACGTCCATACCAACAGCTAGAATTACAAGGTTGTTTTCTTCCAGACGGTTGGGAGTAATTACACCTTCAGCCAAATCTCCGAAACATGCTTCCGGTGTACATAACTGGGATTTCGAGCGGGTTGAGTAGTGACCTTTAGGGTATACTTTAGGATATAGAGTTAAGCAAAGGAGGTTCGGCAACCCAAAAAAGCGCAGCTGCGGTCTTCCAAACATTTTTGCGTTTAGAGTTCCGGGTCCATATTGTGAAGTAGAATCTACGTGGGCACTGTTTAGGGTTTAGGGTTTAGGCGTGGGCGCATGGAACGTGAAGGATAGAAAGTGTTAGCGGGTCTGCAACATTAGCTCATCACATTCCTTGCGTAGAAGCTCAGTTTTGCAAGGCTTGACGTATTTTGGGGTTGACACCTTGAGCATATTTGACCTCAAACCCTAAGTTTCCTAACCATTCAGAACAGTATGTTATGGCGCTTTGATACCCCGTAAAACAAGCTTTCTTTATCCCCAGCTTAGCCCTCAAGCGGGGGTCGAGAAGCTAGCAACTCCCCAAGGGTCCATGTACCCATTTAGCATACTTCAGGGTTCAAGCTTCGGCGGGAATATTTCGAGGAGATGCCTAGAGTCTTTCAACATATGCACGCGTCGAACAATTGGTATGAAACCTAATTACTAAAATCTATCCCCAAGCACCAATCGAATTATTGATGCCCTTAGATTAGCTACCATATGTCCTTGGGCCATTAAAATTTATATGAATGCCCTCGAACTCAAAAGCCTTACACCGCCAGGATCAGCTCTGTGAACATGTGCTTGAAGCACATGGCCGTGTACTACATTCCCAAATCTTTGCTGAGACGCTTGTCTCTTTCAAGATTTGCTGCGAGGTTACTGGGCTTGGGAACTCAGGACTCAGTCACGGTCTTATGACATGTCCAACTTAGCCCGAAAGAATAACCCCTCAACCCAAAACCGCTGTAGGGGCTTCTTGAATTCTGTGCTCGGTTCTGCAGTAACTCTCAGAAACCCACAACTACAAAGATTTTTATAAGCCTTAAGAACCTTTAAGTATAGAAAAAGGAGGCCTTGGATTCGGGGTTGACCAAATTTGAGCGTTTCATGGTGTACCTGGACCCTAAGGAACCTACCTTTTTAGGGTTCCCTAATATGATTTCTTTATATAAGTCCTTAAAAGGGTAGGTTACTTGGGGTTAAGGTAGGGTTTATAGTTTAGGGTATAGGGTTGACTTTAGTTGCGAACATCGACCCCTAGGCACGGCAAGTTTGTGGGGTTTTCGCTGGGGGCTCATGGATAGGCTTGGAGTCTTCGGGCATACGCTTGTAAAGGGTTAGGAACCTTTGGGCCTCACCGTTTAGGATGTTCTGGCCTTTAATGTTGAGGGTATAAGGGTGTAGAAGGTTTTTAGATGTCAAGGTTTAGGTTGTATACCTGGGCCCCCCAACTAGCCTTTAATATACCCTACCCACTATTACGGACCATAAGGGCTCCATTAAAGGGCCATTGGGGGGTCCTGTTAGGTTGAGGGCTTACCCTAAGGTGCCTGAACCCTCGGAGTGGGGTCCCAAACCCTAGCCGCTGGCCCCCAGAGCCGACCAAGACCCTGTTAGGAGCCTTAGGGCAAGCCCCAAACCCTAAGCCCCTAAACCCCAAGCCCCCTAAACCTAAACCCCCAAACCCTAAACCTAAACCCTAGTCCCCTAAACCTAAACCCTAGTCCCCTAAACCTAAACCCCTAAACCCTAAACCCCAAACCCTAAGCCCCTAACCCCTAAACCCCAAGCCCCTAATCCCCCTAAGCCCTTAAACGCCAAACCCCTAAACCCTAAACCCGATAAACCCTAAGCCTTAAAGCCAGAGTCTGGGTTGGGTGGACACTTGGAGGGTCGGGGGGACTTAGTAAGTTGGTGGTTAGTGGACTTATAAGTACCCCAAAAGGGAGCCCTAATTAGGTGTTATGGTACTTATAAGTCCCTAAAATAGCCAGGTACTAAGTCCCCTAAACCCTAAACCCTTATAGAATCCCTATAGATCCCTTTAAAGGACCCCTTTAAAGGAACCGCTTATAGTCACTAAGTCCCCTAAAGACCCTCCAAGCAGGTACCGAGCTCCTTGTGGAGATTGGTCTCCTGACACAAGACGGCGATGCAGCCAGTGCTTCTTGACTAGGATGCCCAGTAGTACCCTTATTCCTTTTTTGTAGTCCTAGGTTCCTTATAAAGTTACCCAATACCAAAAGAGAGGCCTTCTTGTTCTTAGGTTACTGGGTATCCTAGTTGACTATGATCTCTGGAGTTAAGGGTTTTAGTCTGATTCAGGGATAAGAGTAGGGGTCTAGCAGTCTCTGCATATTTCCTTGTTGAGGGTTACGTGAGACTTTAGGGTTTTAGGATGTTTCGGTGTTTAAGGTAAAAGCCAGAAAGTTGGAATATGATTATCCTAACCCTTCTATGGTAAATTATAGGGTATCCTACCCTGAAACCATATTCCAACTTTCTGCAGTTCCCTTTAGGGTTAAGGCTTTGAGGATGTTTTGGGGTTAGGGCTTTGAGGATGTTTTGGGGTTGACGGTTTAGAGTTTTTGATGCGTCAGGTTTTAGGAGTTTTTCCATGGTTTCGGGCTGAAGGCTCTTATCAGTCTAATCCGACGCTTAGTCGCTAGAAACAAGATGCGGGTGATTTTTCGGATTTCAACATGCCACTTTTTTTGGCATGTTTCCTGGGTGGGGGAGACTTTGGGGCAGCGGAGACATGTGCGCTCAAGCGCTTCCATATTGTCATGACGAGCCCATGGAAGCATGGATGAAACCTCCCGAAGTTTTCGTTCCAAACCATCAACCAAGAGCACCAAGCCCTGACCCCGAAATCCCTGCGCCCTCTCAACCGCGAGTTGATGGTACTACGAAGTCAAGCAGAGGATGTCATCCCGCTCTGCAGCCAGCGAGAAGACCAGTGTCCATGGACTAGATCCTCGACTACGCCTCCGAGCGACTCTTGCGCAACGCCATTCGTGCGGAGCGCAGGTGTGGATAGATGCTGGCCAGCGAAAAGATGGGCTGGAACAGCTCCGACGACGAGAGTGAGAACCCGAGCTTAGGAGGCAGAACAAACCCGAGCCCGAGAAGAAGCACCGAAGACGAGGAGGATGAGACTGGCAATGATGATTCAATGATGATGGTGAAAAGAAACAGCTAGCAAAGGAGATGAGCAAGCTGCTCGATCATCCTGGTTGCACGCCTCGACCCTGCAAAACCCTAAACCCGAAAGCCCAAACCTAAACCCTCAAACTAACTCCTCAAAACCCTAGATCCTAAACCGCGCGCACCCTAAACCGGCTAGCTCAAGTTCTAGACCTAATGGAGGTAATCCGATCCCCCTCCAGCAGTGCCCTTATCAAAAGCCAATCCGGCCCTGAAACTCGGCTTAAGAGGATCTTATTTACTAGTACTTTTCAACGGCTTTAAAAGCCCCACCTAGTCAGGCTTCCTTACTATGATTTCTTGTATGAGTCTTTAACATGGCAAGTTCGTGGAATTCTCATCCTTAGCATGGTTCTGGGGACATTCCATAATGGTAGTGCATAGGGACCCTCTGGGCTAGTTGATCTCTCAGCCCTTGCCATATATCAAACATAGGGGTCCTTGAACCTTTGGCCTTAAGGGTGACTTGACAGGAACCTTGCTCCAAGCTAAGTTTTGACGGTTGTTCTTTGTAAAGCTAGCCTTGTGAGATTTGAATGATCCAGGACGTGTCCCGACGTGTCCAGAACCAAAGCTGCAATCTACGATCTATGGGACCTATAAGGGTTTCTAGTACCATAATTTAGGGTTTAGAGTTTTCAGACTTTTGGTTTGAGAGTTCGGGTTTAGAGTTTTAGGGCTCGGGACTTTTAAGTTTAGGCTATGTTTGGGATCCAAAAGGGTTTCTTTGTATTCTGTTGCAGGGGGCCTATGGGGGGCTTTGCTTTTGCATGGGGTCTATCAGGATTTCATGGTTGCTGTGTACAAGGGATGATCCACAGGAGTTTTTTCGGGTTGTTTAGGGTTAAGGGCGGCTTCGTGGCTTGCATGAGGATTTACAAGGGCTTTACTTTTTGTTGAGGGCTCGGCGTGCTGAGGGATCTATGCATCCGTGCTGGGGTCTTTGCCTTTACCCAACTTGGGATCTACAGTATTTGCCAGGAAGTTGGAGCATGGCTTTCGGAGGATTAGTGCTAGGATCCCTTATACTTTACCTGAAGGGCATGAGGAGTCTAATGTTCCAACTTTCTGGCTTCGGAGGATTTGAGATTTCGAACTTCGGTTGTGGCCGAGGGCTTCCGGCAAAGAAAGGCCAATCGCAACTTGGTTTCAAGAGGCCCTAGACCGGTTCTTGTTCGGGAACTTAGTCTAAGGTACCATAACAGGAACCCTTTTGTTAAATAGTAGATTCTATAGATCCCTGTTGTGGCCCTACACCCCTACCCCAAGCTAAGTTCCTTAACAAATTCTAAGCCCTAAACCCCTAACTTGAAACCACTAAATTAAGCCCTAAACCTCTCAACCCACAAAGCCCCAAAACCTGAAACCTGTCGAGCGCTGAATCACCATTCTTTGAGCGTGACCTCGAGTTGTTTGAGCTTTCATTTTCACTGTCTGAGCAAGATTTGAGCGGAGATCGTCAGTGCATTGCCGAACCTTCTGCAGCATCCTCATCGGCACGAGTGTTTGCAGATCTTCAGCCAGGAACAGCAGACCTTGGTGATCTTGATCAGCTTTGCACATCAAATCCTAAGAGGGCACGATTTTCTTCTTTGCGTAGGGCAAGTGAAACAGTTGATTTGGAGAGTGAAGAGCATGATATTTGAAAAGTTTTCTTTCCTGCCTGTTTGTGGCAGAGATGGAGGGCGATCCTCAGGAAGCGGCTCCAACGAATCCGTTTCAGCCAGGTACTGCATCGAATCCTGCTTCTCCGTCAGCGCAGAGTGTGTCTGCGCCTCAAATGCTAGAGATCCTCGGAAACATGCTTCAGCAGAACCAAGAACAGAACAGGGTCTTCATGACAGCAGTGCAAGCGATGTCTTTGGAGCAGGAGAGGCAGGCTTCAAATCTCAAGAGTGCGGTGAGCAACTTGCAAGATCGGGGCTCGTCAGGAGCTGATTTCTCGAAACTGTTGCAGCGGCCAGATGTTTTCCGGCCGAAACATCGTGAAGAGGAGCTCACGCTGTGGTATGAGTGGGCATGGACCTTCAAACAGTGGATGCTTGCTGTAAGTCCCGAAATAGACGGTCATATGCTAGAGATCGAGAAGGACTTGTCTACTGAGGTGGACGAGTTGTCGGTGAGTGACGACGCCATGGTCCTTAGTAACAAGCTGTATGCCGTGCTGACAACCATGTTGAGAGAGCATCCATTGCAATTGTTGAGGAGTGTACCAGACAATAATGGATTTGAAGCGTGGAGAGTTTTGCATACCACATTGGCCCCAAAGAGCAAGACGAGAGTGTTGGCTTTGTTAGGAGCGATTTCCCAGTACCCCAACATGTCACAAAGAAATTTGCTCGAACAGCTACTAAAGATGGAGGACCTCTGGCTGTGTACGTTGGGAGGGTGAGAGGGGTCGTGTGGGTTGCGAAAGCTTTGCACTGCAGCGAGGGTTCTTTTCGGCTTTCCCCTCACGGGTTAGTTTGCTTGCCTTGGCTAGGGTTTGGATCTTGGTGTTGTGTGGTTTGGTAGCAGTATGCGCTTTTTCTGAGCAGCTTGGCTCGAGTACCGCAAGGCTTATCACGGGCATGGCTGCTTTGCCGGGCATGATCTTTGCCGCGGCAACACCGCTGACTGCCCAGCAGCTTCAGCAGCTGCAGCAGCACCAGCAGCTGCAGCAGCAGTTGTCCCTGCCCATCGTCGCCGAGTCCTGACGTAATCAATTTCGTGTGTGACACTGTCTTTTGGTTGTGTCTGTGCTGCATCATCCCGCGGACAGCCCTTCGTTCGAGCCATTGTGAACTGTGCAGATAAGGACCAGAACGGCACACTGTGGCTGCAGCCGGTGGCTCCACGGCTTAACCCCATGTTGTCCATGTAACGTGTATTTTGCTTGCAGCACATTCTCATGCTCACCGATGTTCTCCATTGGAAAATGTCTTTGCTATCTGGGGTCGCTCCCGCTGTGCCGGCAAACGTGGTGATGACAGCACCCATGCGGCTCTGTGCAAACATTCGCGTAGTTATTGTCTCCACGCTAGCTTGTTTCCTTGATTGCATCCAAGGCTAACACTCCAGGAAAGGGTCTCACGCGGCGGCGGGTGAGGCGCGTTGTCCTCAACCAGTCAAACGTTTGGGGGTTTCAAGTTGCAGGACGCTCGCAGACGATGCACGAGAAGCTCCCATCTACTACGCTGAGGTTTGTTTCGCTGGAATCGAACTGATGCTTCCTTCAGGCGCGAGACTGGCCGACGACGTCTGCCGACCGTTATGTGGGCGCCACTGAGCTCGTGCTGGACTTCCGACTGAGGCTCGATGAGGCGAGTCTGGTTTGACTCACTTCGTTTCGTTGTGGAGGCAGCTTGAATGGCTCGCCGAGATCGTCGATATTGATGTGCAGGGGCCTTAGTGTTTCCAACTTTGGTGACTTCGCATTGACGTTTTATCAGGCGTCGCCTGACAAAGAACGGTTGTGTCCACATCATCGGGCAGCCCATGCAGAGACCGGCCGTGAAGAGCCTAGTCCTCAGTCTAGTTTCCGAAAAAGGGCAACGATTAGACAGCAGTTGTCAGGACGTCGAATGAGCTGACGTTCGCCGGAGGCGGTGTTCTCGATAAGAAAAAGTGGCTCTGCGTCCGCTCGGTGCCTGCTGTGCAGTTGTTGTCGTCAATGTAGCTGAGTTGCTGCTGTTGTTGTTGTTGTTGTTGTTGTTGTTGTTGTTGTTGTTGTTGTTGTTGTTGTTGTTGTTGTTGTTGCTGTTCTTGTTGTTGTTGCCGTAATTGTCATTCATGCTGTTGTGTTGGTTTTGTCGGTGTTGTTGTTGTTGTTGTCGTACTTGTCATCCATGCTGCTGTTGTCTTTGTTGTTGTCGCTGAAGTGGTCGTTGTTGTGGTGGTGGAGTTGTTGTTGTTGTTGTTGTTGTTGTTGTTGTTGTTGTTGTTGTTGTTGTTGTTGTTGTTGTTGTTGTTGTTGTTGTTGTTGTTGTTGTTGTTGTTGTTGTTGTTGTTGTTGTTGTTGTTGTTGTTGTTGTTGTTGTTGTTGTTGTTGTTGTTGTTGTTGTTGTTGTTGTTGTTGTTGTTGTTGTTGTTGTTGTTGTTGTTGTTGTTGTTGTTGTTGTCGTACTTGTCATCCATGCTGCTGTTGTCTTTGTTGTTGTCGCTGAAGTGGTCGTTGTTGTGGTGGTGGAGTTGTTGTTGTTGTTGTTGTTGTTGTTGTTGTTGTTGTTGTTGTTGTTATCGTTGTTATCGTTGTTGTTGTTGTTGTTGTTGTCGTTGTTGTTGTTGTCGTCGTCGTCGTTGTTGTTGTTGTTGTTGTTGTTGTTGTTGTTGTTGTTGTTGTTGTCGTTGTTGTTGTTGTTGCTGCCGCTGAAGATGATGATGTTGTTGTTGTTGTTGTTGTTGTTGTTGTTGTTGTTGTTGTTGTTGTTGTTGTAGTGGAGTTGTTGTTGTTGTTGTTGTTATTGTTGTTGTTGCTGTTGCTATTAGATGAGCCAGGGGTTCAGTTGTGGAAGTATCGAACTACTTTGGCATTTGGGGACGGTGAGTGCGAGTTGATTGACTATGAGGAGCTCGTGTCAAGCCTGGAGAGCACGGAGTCAATTGTTTCAGAAAGTGCGTCACCCTAAACCCCAAACATCCCTAAACCTTTGGCCCTAAGACTCAACATGGCCCAACAGCCTTTTGTTGTATGGTCTTTCTGCCCACGAGCCTTATAATATGAGACCTTAGAGCCCCAAGGTTATTATAGTACCCTACCCTGATGCCCTAAAGCAGAAACCCAAAGCCCTGAACCCAAATCCTGAGCAGTATTCTTTGGGCCCAAGAGCCTTATGTACTATGGTCTTTCTGCCCAGCCTTATAATCATAATATGAGTCCTTAGAGCCTTAAACTTAGGCCCAAAGGGTCCAAGGTACCTATAGTAGAATCTAGGGTTTCTATATTAGGAATTACTACTATGATGTGGGTAAGTATTCCCCATAACAGTACCTAGCACCCTTTCAAAGGGTAAACCAGCGAGGATCTTCCCAGACCTGTTCGCAAAGCTCAATGCACTGGGTGGCAAGTGGTCAGCCCGCAGCATCGTCTTCGAGCATACCATGCAGGATGGGCTTCTTCGGTTGAGGGTTCAGGGGCCATGTAGGTGTTAGAGTTCAGGGTTTAGGGCTTTAGGGATTTGAAGGTTTAGGGTTTAGGGTTTAGAGTTCAGGGCTTGGGGCTAGGGTTTTGGGTTCAGGGTGTGGCTTAGGGCTCCTTCGGGTGGCTTAAGGACCTGGACCCTGCTTTGTAGCAGGCCTGCTTATGGTTTCTTTATCTAAGTCCTGAAAGGCTCCATGTATTGGGTTCGAGGTTGTTCAGGCGGTTTGCCGATTCTGTATGTAAGAGCTCTATAATGTAGATAGGGGTTTTATGATGGTTTTGGGAGTGGGGCCACAGGGTTTCAAGATTCGGTAGGGCTACAGGGACGACCACTTTTGACTCGAAGCAACGAAACGACCCCAAACCTTTACCCTGAAGCCGAAAGCGCTAAACTCCCACAGTTACACTCTAAAACCTAAACCGTAGACCCCAAGCACGAAACCGTAAGCCCCAACCCCAAACTCTAAACCCCGAACCAAACCCTAAATCCAAATTTTGTTAAAGGCTGTGAGCTCCTCAGACCCCCAACTACCCTCTACTTTTCCCTACAAAAATCCAGGCCCAAAGGTTCCAAGTATCATTGTGGTAATATGCTTATAGGGTATTTTGGGGGTCTAAGTATATACCATAATGATACTTGGACCCTTTGGGAAACCGGGTCCTGGCCCGAATCTTTCAGAGCTGCGCAGAAGGACTTAAAGGATCATGGGACTTAGTTGGTAACTAGGGTTATAGTTAGGGTAACTATACTTATAAGTACTTATAACCTAGATCCTCCAAGGAGGCCAACGGCACGCAGCCGCAGCTGCGGCTGGACCTGGTCAACGAGGTGTCAGCGATTTTTTGGTTTTTAGGGTTCAGGGTTTTTCCATAAGGGTACTATTATAACGTAGGGTCCTTTAAAGGGATCTATAAGGGTTCTATAAGGGATCTATAGAGTTTAGGGGTTCAGGGTTTAGGGTTTTGCATGTAGGAACCTGATTAAGAAACCTTGAGCCTTCATAAGGGTTCTTTATATATATATGAACCCCACTGTTCTGGTGATATAGGCCAGGGTTTCTTAATCAGGTTCCTACATTAGGGCTTTCGTCAATTTAGGGTTTCGGGCTATGGGGCCTGGGGTCCTCATGCTCTCGTGTTGTTTCTAAAGTGCTTTATGATGGGGGTTGGGCCTCTTGCAGGATTCGTATGGGGGTGGACATGGCTTGGTGGATCTTCAATAGGGTCTTCTAGGTCGTTGTGGAGTCTTGGGCATAATGGTGTCAGCAAGGTCCGTAAATCCCAGCTTGGCTGAATTAACGCAATGTCAGCAGTTTAGGATCTATGTTGGCGTTCCTTTATGTTCTGGAGCTCGGGCTTTTGGTTAAAGAGTATGCGCTGGGCCCCGGGTTTTGGTAGGTAATTTAGGGCCAGGGTGTTTGGTGCTTACTACCCAGAAGGTCCATATACACTACCATTACGGAATTAGGCCTCCCAAAATCATAATTAATAGGGATGGTCTTTCGGTACCTACTTCCAGACTGGTAGTGTATGTAGACCCTAAACCCTAAAGTCCCTAAGCCCTATAGAACCCTTCAAGGAACCCTTAACGGAGCCTTGAAGGGAGCCCTAGTGCCCTAGTTTGTATGGACCCTCTGCGCTGGAAGATACATGGCCAGTTTTATATCTATGCTCGGAACTTCGCGGAGGCAGACGGTGGGTGCATAATTCAGGTAAGCCCATGGCCCCAGAATGTAGTAAATGTAGTATCCCAAATGGATTCTCGGATTTTCATAGGACGAAATGTGATTATGGCTTGAGTAAGTATCTCCTTATCGGTACTTAGGACCCTTCGCGTATGTGTGTTCGGGCAGGTGGATATGCGCTTCACGCAAAGCGTGGCGTCGGCAGGCCGGGAGGCCCTAGGTAGCTAGGACCCAGAGTAGGCCCTTATTCCCTTTTTTGAGGCTTAGGTTCCCTTATAAACGCCTTTAAACCAAAAAGGGCACCCTTTTTATTCCTAGGTTACTCTTAGGTCTAGGTAGCCGTGATACAAATCTGATCTAGGGAGACTCCTTCAAGGGACCTTCTTAACCCTACCTCTGGCTCTCTTACATCAGGGACCTTATTGAGAGGGTCTATATCCTCAAGGTTTCTAATACTACATACGTCCTACCTAAACGACTCTGGGGTTTAGGGGTCGGAGGTTCCGATGGTAGTATGACCAGGGCTCCTCGTCATAGTATGCCTCAGATACCTTCGCCTAATTATTATGACCCTATCTTCAAACCCAATGGGTCCGAAGTGCGTACCCAGTAGTAGGGTTTAGGGCTTCGGAGGACTATTCTGGTTTCGGATCAATTCCAAAAGAAATGAGCAAGACGGCGGACTGCTTCTGTGAAGGTTTTCTAGGATATTTGTCAGGCTTGTTGGGGGGAATGTATTTAGGTCCCTTAGGTTAGTCGGCGAGTGTATACTCAAGTAGTGAGTGATGGATACAACACCTTACTTACTTCCCAAGAGTTTGGGTATGTATGTATGTGTGTATATATATATATAGATATGTGGTCCAAAGATCACTGGGCCCAGGTATGTGTTGATTAAGCAGTATAGGGATCTTAATAATTAGACTAGGGTGTTGGGGGGGTTGGTATATGACACTAGTCCTGCTAAGGAGCCCCCAAAATTAGGATAGGCAATGATGAAAGCCCCTATACCCCAATCCGCTTATAGAACTCCTCAAGGAGCCCTTTATGTACAGGGAACTCCCTACCTAGGACCTAGAGTAGGCCCTTATTCCCTTTTTTGGGTTCAGGTTCCCTTATAAACCCCTTTAAACCAAAAAGGGCACCCTTTTTATTCCTAGGCTACTCTTGGGTCTAGCTACTCTATTTTTAGTAAGGCCCCTGTATAAGTCGGACCAGGGGAATTGAAACCTGACAGAGCCCAACTCTGTCCTACTCTGTCCTGACGATCATCCTCGTGTTCATGCTAGTGGCGAGAAGCCTCGGGTTTATGTTTATTGATTTAGGGCTTTTAAGGCTTTTGGAGTTTAGGGCTTGGGGTTGTAGGGAAGTTTGTGATGCTGCTTAAGCCATGTTTAGGGATTTGGGGCTTTTACGGCTTTTAGGGTTGAGGGTTCAGGGAAAGTGTATGATGATGCTTAAGCCGCTCTACGCCGAGTATTAGTTATCATGTGTACTGTGTACCCCCTGTGTCTTGCCCCTGGCAGCAGGGCTCAGATGCAAAACACTTGCGCTAGCTTGGAAACAACACTCCCTACCCCAAACTACTAACAAATCTGACCTTCACATCTCAAGTCTTACTTGCACCTCCCCCCCCCCCCCCCCCCGGCCTCCTGCCGCCAAACTCTAACTCTAAACCCGTCAATCGCATTCCTTGTGCCAGGGAACCGAACTTATGCCGAAGGCGTCAATACGGCCATCGTGGACTTTACTGAGGCTGGCATTCGCATCATGGTTTATCCCTGATAGCTGAATACTCGAAAGTAGGTACCTGCCGTGGGAATGGCGTTTTCTACGGTTTGTATAAGTGTCTTTCGTACATGTACCTGTGATTCTTGGCGTAACGAGCTGACTGTAGGGTGTTTGTCGGGGGTCTTTTGTCCGTGCCTTTCGGGGTTTCGGGCTTCAGGGTTCAGTTGCCAGGTGCAGAGGGTTTGGAGTACAGGGTTTTTGTTTTTTTTCAGGGGTTCAGGATTTTGGCTGTCTTCGTACTGGTGCTTCTGATGCTACCGGATGCGACGAATCGTGGTTCGAGGAACTGGATCCGAAGACCATGACCACACGATTCGAGATGATCTGGATTCTTTGAAGCCTTATGTAGGAGTACATTCCAGGGTTGGTGTTTGTACAGTTCCACACACATACCCACTAGGAACATGTGTCCTGCACAAACGCACACACACACACACAGTTGGATTCATGCAGACCTGTGTAGAGGCGTGCCTGTAGACTCTGAGGCCCTGAGCTGTTTAGGCACACAGTAGGGTATAGGGTTTACTTCAACCCTGAATATCCTACCTGTTTAGGGACTTATAAATCAGGAAATCATACTAAGGAGCCCAAACAAAAGGTATCTTCTTCAGGGTTGAAGTAGGGTTTGGGACGGGGGAGGGGGAAATTTCCTGCAGGAGCTACTGCTCATCCATGCGAGCTTTGCGATGGACTGGGGCTATGCCAGCCAGAGATCACTAGGCCGCGGTTAAGGGTTGGGGGTTTACGGTTTAGGGATTTAGGGTTTAGGGCCTAATTTAGGGTATGGGGGCTTACGTTGGCTGACGAGGCCACTCACCTATACTGAACTTAGACCTCAAGCAAACATTGTGGTTTTAGCTATTTCTTAAGGGACCTGATCACCCAATGGGGGTTTCCGAAAATACGGAACCCTAGTACTTGGAGGATCATGGAACTTAGTAAGTAAGGTTATAAGGACCTTAATTTGGGTTATAAGTAGTTATAAGAATAGTTACCCCTATTATAACCATAGTTACTAAGTCCCATGATCCTGTAAGTATAGTACTCCAAAAAATGGGATCCTCATTATAGGGACCCCAAAATAAGGTATCCCTGATTTTCGGAAACTCCCAAATCACCCTCAAGCCCTAAACCTCTATTCCCCGAACAGCTTTGTGCTTTTACACTGTGCAACAGGTCATATTCCTATGTAACGGGTGTAGCAGGAAGCTGAAATCCCGAATCAGAGTTGTTCATGAAGGACCTAGAATGAATCTAGCAAGATAGCCGTATGGTATATTTGCAGACTTTTGCTTGGAGGATCGTGGGACTTAGGAAGTAAGGTTACAAGCCCCCTATTCGATTGGGGTTAAAAGTCACTGTCAGTATAGTCACCTTACTTGTAACACCAGTCACTTAGTCACTTAGTCTTATGATCCTTTAAGTAGAACGACAGCCTGGTGTTGCAGACCCTATATCACTGTTCCGAAATAGGGCTTGGGGGGGTTGCTGGCAGCAATTCCCACAGGCTCCATGTATACTAGCATTGTGGTATTAGGACACAGGAGGCCATCTACATTATGGTTTTGGGAACTTCATTTACATATCAGTAGTAATGTGGACCCTATTTGAGCAGTATGCAAGACGCCCCGGCAAAAGCCAAAAGCCCAACCCTGTCATAGGTTTCGAATACGAGTCTTACAGGACTTCACAGTGGCTGACATAAGGGGTCTTTTTTTTTGTGCAGCCGTACTTGTTTCAGGATGTGTGGAAGGTTTAAGGTTTAGGGCTTTTAGTTTTGGAACTCACGCGGTTCGGGGTTCAGGGAGTTTAGGGTTTGTTTTAGGGCTAGAGTGGTCCGAGTTGGGATCAAGCCCCGAACTGCACCCTTTGCTACCTAAAGCCTAAATCTATGTAGATGGGTGTAAAATTATGGCCCCTTTTCGGGTACCCTAAATAATAGGTGCACCTTTAGAGGACCCAAAAAGGGACCAACATTTTGACAACCACCCATGTAGCTAGCCCAAAAGATCCTAGTTACCTTCTTGTGACTTTCCGTCATTACCCGTAGGCTCCAGGTGCCCAAATAGTATATACTTTGGCCTTAAAGTCGTCCCTATATGGGTACTTTGGGGCCAAAGTATGTGCTATTTGGGCACATGGACCCTTAGGGTTATGTAAGTCTTTGCATGTGCAGGTTTGTTGGAGTGCAGCTGAGACCTAAACACTTTGTATCTCCAGGTCCGCACTACACCATCTTCTACTCACCGGATTTCGTGCATCAGTCCGTAAATGTGGCGTTATGTGCGAAAACACATGGCTCCATGCCCGCAAATACAAAAGTGCATGTAGGGTTTAGGATATCAGGATTTGGCGCATAACCTGGACCCCTAGGTGTTTAGGGTCGGGGATTTGGAGTGTAACCTGACCTCCCATTATCCTCCAACCACAGATACCGGCTATGAGGGGCTAAACGGCCTCCATTGAACCTAGCAGGACCTAGCAAGAGGGGTACGAGGCCAAGTTAAGTTTGAAGATCTGAGCACTGAGAGTGTTGCTAGGATGCCCAGTAGTACCCTTATTCCCTTTTTTGTAGTCCTGGGTTCCTTATAAAGTTTCCCAATACCAAAAAGAGAGGCCTTTCTGTTCTTAGGTTACTGGGTATCCTAGAAAAACTGAGCGCCGGGTTGAGCACCCAGGGTCGTTGCTACAAGTAGGAGGTATCGGAGCCTCTTTCTGAGTGTCCTTCTAATCAGAACCCAAACAAAACCCCAAACCCAAAAAACCTAAATCCCGAAACGCTGGAACCCGAAGCCCTAAAGCTCTGAACCGTGAACCCTTGAACCCTACACCCTTTTATGTTGTCAGGTTGACGGACTCATACCTTTAAGGGAGAATAGTTGTTCAACTAGCAAAACAGAGTTTTACAAAGTGTTCTTTAAGAGTTCTCGAGGACTCAGTTCCTAGACTACTATAGCCCTACGGCTCCAAGTATACAAATACTACCTACTTTGGGCTCTAAATCTCTAAATGGTACCTAGTTTTGGCTTTAAAGTCTATAAATGGTACCTACTTTGGGCTCGAAAGTCTGTAAATGGTACCTACTTTGGGCTCTTTGGAGCCTTAGGGGAGGGCCTTGGGGGCCCGGTTGACCTGACAGGAGCCTCAGCCGATCGCATTGCAAGGTCGCAGAGGCTTTACGCCATGTTGGCTAGCTGGACCCCAAAAGTATGTAGAATAATGGCCTTTTATAGGTTTTGGGCCATTATTTTACCTACTTTTGTGGGTCTGGGTAGCCTCCTTCGAGCAAAGCCCAAGGCCACCCTGAGGCAGATCACTGACAGGAATGGGCTGGACGTTTGGAGAGTCCTGGTGAACACGTTTGCTCCGAAGTCCAAGTTTCGGGGCTTAGCGCTCCTCAGCGCGCTGATGGTTTTGCCGGCTTTTGGCAAGGATAAGAGCCGAGCCTTCGTGAGCGTATCTACATTCCTCCGACAGCAGGCGGAGCGGCATCTTACTGTGGCTGTAGACACGATTCACTTCAGTCTGCCTCAGGGTACAACTGCGCAAGCCACAACGGCTGTGGCTGCAATGGTTGCTGTGGCTGTCGCCGAGGAGTACCAGCATGTTACAGGCCGCCCGCCAGGCGAGGACGTGATGCTGGGAACTCTTGTGCGCTGCTTGCCTGCTGCCATCAAGCAACATGTGCAGCTCCAGATGTCTGATGCAAGCACCTACCGGTGTGTTCGTGACTGCGTGTTGGGGTGCGAAGTCATTGTTCCTTGGTGTTCGTGGTTGAACTTATAAGTGTATTTGCTCCTTAGTATGATGCACATATTCTCAAGAAGAACAGAAACAACCCCAGCTCCAAAACCCTAAACCCACCCTGACCCGGAGAGCCCAATACCCTTCTATGGGCGATTGTGCATGAAGTTATAGTGGGAATAGCAGTATTATGATTCGAAGTCGGATTTAAATCCTAAACCCTACACCTCAACAGTACGATTCGAAGTCGGATTTAAGCCCTAAACCCTAAAACCTAAACCCTTAACCCTAAACCCTAAACCCTAAACATCCTTAATGGAGAGACATGGGACTGGCTCGGCCCTCAAGCCTCCGTCCTAAAGCCTCAGCTCTAAACGGTTGAAGGCTTCGGAAGGGTTTAGTGTTTTGGGTTGTTGAAGGTTTAGGGCTTGGGGGCTTAGGGGCTGAAGGGTTTAGGGTTTGTGGTTTCAAGTTCTAGGGTTTAAGAGTTTATGTTTATTCAAGCTTATATTTGAAGGTTCAAGTTTTAGGAGCGCTTAGGGGAAGCCCGAAGCTAGAGCTTCAAATCGAGGTTGGATGGGCATTGGCTGGTTGGATCCAGACAGGGCAGGCGGTCCTCTCATGCAGGACACTGACATGGTAGCTCCTCGCCCGGACAGGCGGTGCAAGTTTGTTTAGAAGTTTATTGGGTTTAGGGTTAGGACATACTCCTGTAGAACAAACCCCCAGGTTACCTGCAATACCATGCACTGTAGGCCCTATCTTAATCATTCAGGGCCCCACACTGTTATGTTCTAACTCTCTGCCACCTGCCTTAAAGATAGCATGGGCCCTTTTGCTTCTGTTTTGGTGTGTTGGAAGCATGGGGGCTACTTGGAGGATCATGGGACTTAGTAAGTAAGGCTATAAGTGCCACGAATTGGGGTTATAAGTAGATATAAGTACAGTTACCTGAATTACAACCCTAACCCCAAAGGTCCAAGTACCCAATAATCATATACTCTCCAAAAACCTAACCTACATAACTACGATCCTAAAACCGAGTACCTAACTATTGGGTGCTTTGGAGCCTTAGGGTAATTACTAAGTCCAGTGATCCTTTAAGTAGTGTGCGGACCCTGCACCTGACAGTGCTCAAAGCCTTGAGCCTGACCCCTTTGCCTCGGCTTACTTACAGGATCATGGGACTTAGGAACTAGGGCTCCTTAAAGGGGCTCCTTAAAAAGGATCTATAGGGGTTCCTTAAAGGGATCTATAGGGTTTAGGGTTTAGGGTCTACTTAAAGGATCATGGGGCTTAGTAACTAGGGCTCCTTAAAGGGGCTCCTTAAAAGCGAGCTATAGGGGTTCCGTAAAGGGATGTATGGGGTTTAGGGTTTAGGGTCCATTTAAAGGATCATGGGACTTAGGAACTAGGGTTGTAATTAGAGTAGCTATACTTATAACTACTTAAAATTGGGGTTAAGGTACTTATAACCTTACTTACTAAGTCCATACTATTTGGGTACATGGACCCTTAGGGTAACCTAGAGGCTCCTCATGTACTACCATTATGGAATTAGGTCCCTAAAACCATAATAAGGATGGCTTTTTGAGACCTAATTCCATAATTAATGGTAGTGTATATAGCCTTATAGACCCTAAACCCTAAATTCCCTAAACCCTATAGAACCCTTAAAGGAACGCTTAAAGGCATAATGGTAGTATATGAGGAGCCTCTGGGATAAGAGACACGGCAGTACGTCTCCAGCGGCAGTGGGAAAGATGCTGCGACGAGGTTTCCACTGGTCCGAGACTTTGCGTTTAGGCATTCAGGGGTCCCAGAGACTCCAAAAGGAATGTACTTTATATCATAATAGGAACCTTAATATGATTTCAGGCATATTCCTATTAAGGGGTTTTGGAGTCTCGGGGGTTTGTGTTTTAGGGTTCAGGGTTTCGGGTTTCTTGGCTTCGAGTTTAAATTCCCATTGCGCCCTGAAGCCCCCTGAGCAAAACCCTTGAGCTCTAAAGCTCAGCTCTACCTGAGGGGGTCATGGGCTTCCTGGGGGAGGGTTTCGGCTTTGGGAGCTGAGGTTTGGGGTTTCACTACAGGGTCCGGGAGCCTGAGGGTAGTATAGAAGCATGCGTAAATCACCATCGTATAGATAGCCATCCGAAGCCATACCCCCCAACGCTTGTTTATGAAAGTTTAAGGCCGCTGCATAATCTGAGGTCGCTTTCGTGAAAGATGGCCAGGCCAGGTGGAGGGGTGGTAAATGTCGGAAGGGTTCAGGGGTTCAGGGTTTAGAATTTAGGGTTTAGGGTGTTGAAAGAGTTTCGGGTTTAGGGTTTAGGGCATGTCGGCCCCCATATATGGTTTTGAGGGGTTTGCAATTTAATATAGGGGCCGTAATGATTACCTATACTATTCTGGGGGGGGGAGGTTCTTATTATAGTATATTGGGCCGCAGAACCCTATGCTACTTATGATAAGGGGCCCCTGTACCAGCACCTCTTGCAGGGTTCAGGGTTTAGGATTTAGTTGTTCGGGTCTTAGGGGCTTAAGGCTAAAGTGTTCGGGTTTAGGGTACTGGGTTTCGGGCTAGGGTTGAACATCTATGCCGGAGTGCTTGGAGCATTCAACAGATCCAATGGGAACTGACACACTCAGTGTTTAACATGGTAATGCCCTGCATGGGTCCGCAACAAGCCGCATTTTTGAGGATTTATTGAATGTCAGGAAATCCCACAAAGGAGCCCTTAAGAATGCAGGTTCTTTAGTACAGGGTCCAGGTTGCCCTAAGCTATAAATCCAAACCCGAAACTCTCTAGAGGTAACCTTAAGACCTACAGTAGAAGCCAGAAAGTTGGAACATCTTTATCCTCATTCCCTTAAGGAATCCTAGCACAAATCATCCTAAACTCATGTTCCAACATTCTGGGGTTCGCTATAACCCAAACATGTGGTTGGTTGGCTCCGAAGCAGCTGGGAGTGGTTGGGCAGGCTCGACAGGGTTTAGGATTTAGGGCTTACCTTAACCCTAGGATGCCCAGTAGTACCCTTATTCCTTTTTTGTAGTCTCAGGTTCCTTATAAAGTTACCCGATACCAAAAAGAGAGAGGCCTTTTTGTTCTTAGGTTACTGGGTATCCTAGCCTCTTAGGGCTCCTGATCATGATTTGATTATATATAAGTCCTTAAAAGGTAGGATATTCAGGGTTAAGGTAGGGTTTAAGATTTAGGTTTGGGGATTTTGAAGATGGTCGCTTTGTAAAACTTAGCAGGGTGCTATAAGGCTTTCTGGTTTTATTTGTGTAGGTGTTGGCATAATGGTGTTATGATGGAGCTTGGCGGGTGTGTTGGGTCGTGCAGAAGCGTGACATGTATCTTCAGTCGGCGCATGTTTTCTGATTCGTACATCTGGGGCCGCCCTAACCGCTTGGATTCGCCGATAAGGCCCTTGGCCCTACCCTAAGGCTCCTAACTGGGTCTTGGGCCTTCTGAGGGAGGGGTTCGGCTTCGAGGGCGAAGGTTTGGGACCTCACTACAAGGGTCCAGGAGCCTTAGGGTAGACTCTGAAACGGAAGACGATGCACTCCATACGTCCCTCGGCAACCAATGCTTCGGCAATATGATGAAAGTCTACCAGTAGTAGCTTGTGCTGTTAGTCATGCCGCTGTCACCATGTCCCATCCGAGACAAAGGGATCCGCGGCAATGAGACAGGGTTTTGGGGGCTTAGGTTGCCATCCTCCTACCACGGACCCCTGAGACCCAAGACACGATCAGGGATAACTTTCGGGGGATTCGGGATCGGGGCGGACATCTGCGGCACAGCCGCCCGGCACGAAGATATGCGCGCCCACCCGAGCTCCTTCAAGCAGCGATCGCGGTGAGCCCGAGCCCGAAGCCGCATCCTAGATTTTCCATGTGCCCGCTGCAGAACTGTACCCTGTTCCCCCTGTTCCACGGTTCATGCGGAGTTTGATGGGCAGCCCCAAGGCTCCATGTACCTTCATAGTAGACTACTTAAGCCTTAAAGGGGTCCCTATATGGGTACTTTAAGGCCTATGTAAGTATATGCTATATGGGTACATGGAGCCTTAGGGCAGCTGCATCTCTGAAATACGCCCGCTGAAACTGCCAAAACTGGTCCCACATCTGCTTGGACGTCACACTGCCCAGAAGCATTGCGTCCAAAGCAGACGAGCTGACCATCTGTTCGCACTGCACAAGTATGATAGTCGCCCGCTGAAACTGCCAAAACTGGTCCCACATCTGCTGGGACGTCACACTGTCCATCATCGTTGAGTCCAAAGCAGACAAGCTGACCATCTGCTCGCATTGCACAAGTATGCAGCCCACCGCCTGAGGCTGCTGAAACTGGCAAATCTGCATGTCCGCTGAATACAGTCTTTCTCACTACACAACTGTTGGGATTAGGGTTTAGGGTTTAGGGTTCTAGGATGCCCAGTAGTACCCTTATTCCTTTTTTGTAGTCCTAGGTTCCTTATAAAGTTACCCAATACCAAAAGAGAAGCCTTTTTGTTCTTAGGCTACTGGGTATCCTACCCCTACACCCCTTCGCACCCAGCGACCGTGCAGACGGTGGAATCGTTGCACCAAAATGTCAGGACAGTAGGAAAAGTCGATTCATAAACCGTATCCTTTCTCCTTTCAGATCCGTACAAGCTAGAGTGTAGGGTTTCTATGGCAGGAATTGGTATTATGATTCGGGAAGTATGCCCCAGAGTGGTACCTAGGACATGTTAGGATTAGGATGAATGCAGAGCTAAACCCAAAACTTAAACCATATACGCTAACATAAACCCAAATCTAACCCACAAGCCCTACACTTCTTGGCCTCCACAGGCCGGCGTCCAAGATCGCTTTGCTCGCTGGATCGCGGCTCTATTGCAACAGAAGAGGGTAATTTTGGGGGTCTGCAAAGGGTAGTTTAGGGTGTCCTTTACGGTTAGTTTAGGGGTTCCCGTGTAAGGCGCCTTAAGCGTTCCTCTTAAGGGATTTAGGGCCAGGGTTTAGGTGGAGTATGCCTTTGTTGAGTGGTAATTAGGTTTTTGAAAGGGTTCATGTGGCTTCAACAGGTTTTGAGTGTTTTTGTAACAGAACTTATTACGGTGTTCGAACGATGCCATTAGGATTTTTATGGTGCTATACATGTTTGGATGCACGGCTATGCAAGCCCAGATTTTTTTAAGTGAAGCAAAGTCGAGTTTTTCATGCGCAGAGACCTTTTGCACCCAAACAACCCAATCCTTCGTGCCCCAAAAAAGGGTTTTTGCACCAGCAAGAGCTACCCTGATCCCTAATCCTACCTTTAATGAATCCTATACGACTACTTTGCTAATGGTTTCCACTTAAATAATTAGCCCAGTAGCCAGTCGTTTGCGTCCCTCGTAGTGAGATCCCAAACCTTAGACCCCCAAGCCCAAACCCTTCCCCCATAAAGCCCATGACACTGTTTCGGGAGCCTTAGGGTAAACCGCAAACCCAGGAAGAGCCGCTGAAGGACGAGTTGCTTGCAGGTCAGCGCTCCGACGATGCCGGGCACCTCGCACGAGCGGTTGGGTCCGTTGATTCTAGGGGTTTGTTTAAGGGATCATAAGGGGTCTATAAGGGTAGGGTTTAGGGTTTGTAGGGTTTAAGATTTAGGGTTTAGGGTTGAGGATTGAGGGGTTAGGGTTTAGGGTCGTGATTGCGCGTTTAGGATTTAGGGGTGAGGGTGGAGGTTCAGGGTTTAGGGTTTAGGGTTCTGATGGGGCTCCTAGAATTACTGTTACGAGGGTTTTTTTACAAGCTTGAGCAGGCTTCTATCAGGGTTGTGGCGTTTAGGCAGGGTTTAGGGTTTAAGGTTTAGGATCAGGCATTGCAGGGTTCGAGGGATTGGGACTCTCATAAGTGTGCAAGACTGCGAAGACAGGTGTCAAGACGGGTTCCGTGTTTCAACCCTACACCCTAACTTACTTCCCCAACACCCAACCTTTAAAGTTTTTGGGTTCTTATAGTTTAGTAGGAATCGGAAAGTTTAACCTGTTATTTCTGTGGCTTATTGGGGTAGGAAGCTAAGCCCGAAACCTTAAACCTAAAGCCTAAACTCTAAACCCTAATCCTAAACCTTATAGATTCGACTATAGATCCCTATAAAGGAACCCTATAGACCCCCCCTAAACCTTACAGAATCCAGGTCGATAGGTTGTGGGATGTTGTGCGGTTTGGGCTTGTTTCAGGGTTTCAGGGTCTCAGGGGTTTTTAGAACCCTGACACGAAGGCTCCATGTACCTATATGGGAGTTTCTGAAAATTTAGGGTTATATACCTTCTTTTGGGGTCCTTATAGTAAAGATCATACTATTTAGGACACTATGTTAGGGTCCCCTATTTTCGGAAACTCCCATATGGTGCATACTTACCCACCTATTTTGGAACCCCGTTAAGGCTTAAGTATCTAGTGATTGAGCATCTTGATCCTCAGTGTTAATGTTAAGCCTAATCCCCAATTCACCACTGCTGATACCTTCCAAAGCACTGGCACCCCCGAAGTAAAGCTTAAAGCAGCAGAAGGTGGCGGCACTTCATGGGAACCTCAGCGCCCCGAAAACCAAAATCCTGACCCGAAGCCCATAGGCCCAAACCCCAAACGGTTAAGAGACAGGCTTTGACTAGGATGCCCAGTAGTGCCCTTATTCCTTTTTTGTAATCCTAGGTTACTTATAAAGTTACCCAATACCAAAAAGAGAGGCCTTTTTGTTCTTAGGTTACTGGGTATCCTAGAATATTTGGCCCAAAACCCAGAACGATACGATAGACCATGGATAGGCCCTAAACGCTAGAGCCCTAAAAGCTTGAATGCCGCTCTTCCAAGGAATCCACTGAATGGTGTGAACGATCTCGAGCTCATCTCAGGACTTTGCGTTTAAATGCCTGGAGACGTGAATTTGTTGGTTTTTGGTTTTCAGGTTTGGGGTTGAGGGATTTGCCTTGTGTAAAGCCTTACTCCTAGTAGTAGAGTACTGTAGGTAACCTTTAACCTTTATTGGAATAGTATCTTCCTTATAGAATCCCTATATAACCAAGAAGGTTTACCTTTAGTTCCCCATGATACCCGACAAGCAGGATCATTAGTAGCTGGTATCTGTTTCCATGCTGCAGTTAGTTGCCGTCACCGCTGAAGGGGCCACTTCGGAGGTCAACCCAAAACTCCACTACTATAGATCCCTGAAAGACACCTTTTAAAGGAACCCTATAAAGGGTTCCTTTAAAGGGGTCTGTAAGGATCTATAGTAGGGTCCTATACTATAGGACCCTACTATAGATCCCTTAAAGACACCTTCAAAGGAACCCTATGTTGGCATCCTGGTAGAGCGGAAGAGCGCTTTGGTCTTTAGGAGCCTTGGGCTCATCTGGGCGCGAGTGGTGCCCGGACGATGCCGCCTGGAGAAATAGGGGGCCTTTAGGGGGCTTTGGGTTTAGGGGTTTAGGGTTAGGGATTTAGGGATTAGGGGTTCGGGGTGTAGGGTTTTGGGGTTTAGGGTTTAGGGGTTCAGGGGCCTAGGGTTGAGCTTACCCTAATAAATTTTGAGGTGCAGGGCTGCACATATACGAAATGCCAGAAACTTTTGTGATTGGGTGCATCATACACCACTTTCAACACGGCAAACGTCAACCTCAAAAATGCGACCGACATCCAATAAGGGTCCTGATAGGGACTGGTAGTCCTCCGTAGGCCCTGTCTGGATATACTAAGTATAACTTCGTGCTCCAACACCCAACCTTCAAGCCGTAGTCTAGTAGTCACATCTGCAAGTTTAGCCTTTGCTTCCCGTGGCTCAGTGGGGAAGAAAGAAGACGAATCCCGGGCTTCTAGAATACTACTTGGAAGAGATGGGGTTCCAGAGGTGGTTATGAATTTTGGGTCTGTGGAGTTATCAGTCCCCCGATATGGGTCATAATCACACTTGCCCTGCTTATCACGCCACTTATCTATAGTCTCCTTAGGAATAATTTTCTATTTTGCTCATATAACACCCAAGAGAATACTAAAGACATTGTTTTATTGTGGTTCTAAGGGGGGGTAAGGATGATATAGCTACCCAAGAATCCTGAACCCCTGTTCGATTTTGTGAGCCCCGCACCCAACAAAGTTAGTCCAAAAGGCGCTGCTGGCTTAAAAAGGCGCGAGACCCGGAAAGGGCAAGGTCCGAATGACCCGCATGTTTAGGCTTTAGAGCGGACATGTAGGTTAATCTTTGGGGAAAGTATAATGTCCGAATGACCCGTACATTTAGGCCCTAGGGCAGATCTGTAGGTTAATCTTTGCCCTAAGGCTCCTGGACCCTTGTAGTGAGGTCCCAAACCCTACCCCCCAAAGCCGAAACCCTCCCGCAGAAGGCCCAAGACCCTGTTAGGAGCCTCAGGGTAAACCCTAAACCCTAAGCTCCATTGATCTTTCTCCCTAAGCCCTACCTGGAGGTTCATGGATAGTTAGAAGTGGGGTTATAAGTCCCCTGATATCGGTCACGAGCCTTAGGGTGGGCGTGTAAGATGTTTAGGGCCAGCTGCCAAGCCTTCGACCGAGGCTTGCAGCCCTGGCTTCACTCTGGTGCCTCCGGGCTGTGTGGGTTTGGAATCTACTAGGACCCAGAGTCGGCTCTTATTCCATTCTTTAGGGTTCAGGTTCCCGTTCAGGTTCCCTTATATAAGCCCCTTTCAGCCAAAAAGGGCACCCTGTGTATTATAATTTTACGATTGGGTGCACTAGAGTTGTTCTATTGGTTTTGAGTACGAGTGTGTCGGTTTATGATTGTTTATGGGTCTGTGTTGGTAGAGATGCAGACAACAGATTCGATCATCTAACTACACTTCCACCTAGTGAGTGTCTATACCAAGTCTAGCTGTCTTCCTAAGGTTTCTACAAAGTATAATCACAGTTAGCCTTGCTTAAAGGACCATGGGAGTTAGTATCTAAGGTTATAATTTAAGGAAACCATACTTACAACTACATATGGTCTTGATTAAAGTACTTATAACCCCGCTTACAAATCCCATGATCCTCCCACTAGATCTTATAAACCCTATGGATTCCTTGAAGGAGCCCTTTAAGGAACTCTTTTAAGGATCCCTAGGATAGGCCTTAAGGGGCCTATAGAAGTACTTTCACTAGGATGCCCAGTAGTACCCTTATTCCTTTTTTGTAGTCCTAGGTTCCTTATAAAGTTACCCAATACCAAAAAGAGAGGCCTTTTTGTTCTTAGGTTACTGGGTATCCTAGCCTTTTTAGAGCTCCTTATCATGATTTGATTATATAAGTCCTTAAAAGGTAGGATATTCAGGGTTAAGGTAGGGTTTTAGTTAAGGATGCACATGGACTGTTAGGGTCCCAGAAGTACTCAGTCCCCAAACCCTGAACCTTGAGTCCCAGATGCTAAAACAAATGGTTTAGGGTTTAGGGCTTAGGGTTTAGGGTATAGGGCTTAGGGTTTAGGGTTTAGGGTTTAGCGTTTAGGGTGTAGGGATTAGGGTTTAGGGTTTAGGGTGTAGGGATTAGGGTTTAGGGTTTTAGGCAAAGGTTTCGGGTTTAGGGTTTGGGGTGGTATTTTACAGAGGTTCAAAGCCCGAACCTTGATACTTCTCCCCCCCTCCCCCAAAAGTCCACGGCCAAATTGTCGGAGTTTAGGAGTTTAGCAAGAAGATTTCGCCCAGTGCAAGAGTACACCTAACAATCCAGACCTCTGGGAGTATCCACAAAATACATCCCTTAGGTGGTTCACTATCAGGTACCGAAAAGCAGTACAGGATCCCAAATTGAGGGATCTACTGTTTCGATCCTCCCGGCGGTATGGGGTTGTGGCCTTGCTTTTTGCCCGGGGGGCCGGGGTTGTGTGCTTTCGATGTGAACGGCGGTTAGGATGAAGGATTTACGACTTCACGTTTTGCTCTTGTTTGTTTCGGCGGGGAGCTGTTTTCAGGTTCTCTGGAATCAAGGCTTTGCAAGGCTGCGTCGGAGTCCCTCGATCGGCAAATATATACTTGACCTTTCATACTCCTACGCCAGCTCATCGTGGCAACTGTTACTGTAAGCCCGGGTATACCTGACCTGTAAAGTAACCCTAACCCGAAACCCTAATCCCCAATCGACCCTTAAATCCTGCCAGCTTAGCCCTCCAGAAAGCTGAGGTCCCTCTCAGCCCTCAACCGTTAAGGTGTCCTTCACTTGGAGGTTCATGAGTAGTAAGGTTATGAGTACCTTAATTGGGCTTATTTACTAACTGTTAGTCTAGTTACCCTATTTATAACCCCAGTTACGAGTTTAAGGTCCATGTGCCCAAGTACCCTAAACCCTAAACCCTAAACCTTACACCCTAAACCCTAAACCCTAAACTTAAACCCTAAACCCTAAACCCTATTTGTATGTATATACAATTCGGCCCTACAGTTCGTGTTTTTAAAGGGACTTCTCGGTCTGAGAATCCGCAGGTAGGGAACCTCACTTAGGTGGATTCTCAGACCTGATGCAACCGCTAAGGGAGTTGAAGCTAGTAGTAAAGTAGGCAACCTTTAACCTTCTTTGGGTAGGAAAGCTCACGAACGAAGCTAGGAGACAGACTAGACGCAACCTCGAGGGACGAAGACCTAAAAGCCGGGAATGCTGTCCGCCCTACTTTGATGAGGCTCGCAACTACACGACGTGGGCCAAAGAACGCCTGCTCGTGGCCGTACCGTACACCAACATCGTGACTTACGCGGTGCGAGCCTCAAACTTGACAACCTCGTGCATCTGGGTTCGTCGCGACGGCCCGCAGGAGATCGCAGTCACGAGGGAGGACATCGATTGGCACGTGGCAATGAGGCGCAGACGCCTTGTACCTCCTCCACACCGCGGCGATCTGTTGGTTGCGTGCTCAGAAGCCAACAGCCGAGACGGGTCGGTTGCACGGACAGCGACTCGACGAGGCTTGGGCTGCCGCTGCGAAGAGGACCTTCAACCGAGGGTGAACCGGCGTGGCAAGGGGCTTATCCGTTGTCGTCTTTGTGTCTTGGCTATTCTCGCTCCGACAAAAAATGAGAATTGTTGATTTCCGGTGCAAGGTGCACTGGATGAACTGCTCAGCGGCCTACCTGATGCCTGCGCTCTTCCGCTACAACTTAAGATGCTCCGCAGTGCCGTGTTTCCCCCCGACACAGAGGTTGCGTGCATAGCTCTGTTGTTGACTGCATGTCGCATCTCTTCTTCACACATAAAGTCGATCTCACACGAACCACACCAATCCTAGGAAGGTTGGAGAGTCGTACAAGCCCAGCAGGTCCACGTAGTCTGCACAGTGCCAGTGCACCTTTCGGAGCCGCCGGCTGTAAGCTGGAAAAGCTTGAAGTTTGAGATTAACATCTCTGGTTGCATTCCGTGAAAAGCAACTAACTGGAAAGCCTTCCAGTTTACGCCAGAAGGCTACCCCGGCAATCCTTATTCCGTTGCATTTTATGAAGGGCAACTACCTGGAAAGCCCTCCAGAAGCCGGCAATCCCTATCCCGTTGCATTATATGAAAGGTAACTACCTGGAAACCCTCCAGAAGGCGGTGAATCAATCGCCTCCCCTAAGATAAGGTCCAGAAGAAGCGGAGCAAGTAACAGCCCTGCAAAACCGGCCTTGAAAGCTGTCGGCTCGCATACCGCGCTGTAACAAGTGTTGCGAGCCTGCACTGCTCTACAGGCGAGACTGCATACTAAGGCGGCGAAAGCATAATTACATCCGGTAACCCACGCTAGGCAACTTGATGGACCGCCTTGTCATCTCTGATTTTGGCATCGTCCCGTCGATGGTCCCCAAGAACTGGTTCGAGGCAGGCAGCAGAAGAGTATGACAACCGGCCCCACATCTCGTAGCCAGTAACACGCCTCCAAAAGGAAGCTGACAAGGACGACGCCACAGAGGCAGGGCCATCAGGTCACTTCCGAATGTCTTGCAGATTTCCCCAAACAGGTGCCGTCCCCCGCGTACCAGCAGTTGGCCACATCCTTAATTACGCTGCTTCTTTCATGTCCTTGCAATCTCCTGGAGTTATGTCAGGAGAAGAACTGCTTCATACTCGCTGGTCGAAGCTGCCATCTAGATTCCAATGACCGGCCGCACAGCCGTTTCAACGGATTTGACGAAAGCTCGTGGCAGGCAGAAGCGATGCAAAATTAGCTTTTCAGAATCCGAAATTTGAAAGTACACGTGAAATTCTGTCAGGTGGATGAAACCGCTCGTTATCATCTCGTGCTTTGGGGAAGTCCTCACATAAATGCCAGAAGCTCAGAACCGGGCAACAACAGCACGTTTACTCAATCGTTTCCTTCAGGTGTGTGACGCAAGCGCAGCGGGACCCAATTGCGACAACTCGGCTTTCAAGAGCTGCGCGTTCAACTCAATATCGTGGAAGCGGAAGCCTCAGGCAGCCTAGAAAGAAGGAAGGTCGCAAACAACTAGCAGCTCCCGACAAGGACCAGTGGAACAGCCATGATGATAGACCCCATCCATTACCAGCAGGTGGAGTTTTATCGCGCGCCACCTGGAAAGATTCTACTCATACTTAAGGCCGCTGACACAGGCCGGGCAGCTAGCCCGCATGTCCTCCACTCGCCTCATTCCACGCAAGCAGGCACTTACGAACCCTTGGCCTCTTCCCGCACGGCCGTATTGCCGTTAAGCGCAGACGGCATTCATGTGGCAGTGGCTCTGGACCCAGAGCATTGGCCATGCCTGGCTAGGATGCCCAGTAGTACCCTTATTCCTTTTTTTGTAGTCCCAGGTTCCTTATAAAGTTACCCAATACCAAAAAGAGAGGCCTTTTTATTCTTAGGTTACTGGGTATCCTAGCTGGTCTTTTCCGAGGCAGCAGACCGCAGTGGCTTTGGCCTTATACAACCAAAAGGCTGACCTTTAGTTCCCCATGACACCCTAAACCCCAAACCCCTAAACCCTAAACCCTAACCTTCAGTTCCCCATGATACCCGACAAGTAGGAGACCTGGCTAAATACATGTGAAGGATCCTCAGAGCCACCCAGGCCATGGTATGTCCACGGCTTAGGGTTTTCGGGTTTAGGGTTTTGGTTTCAGGTTTTGGGGTTTAGGGTTTAGGGTTTGGTGTTTAGGGTTGGAGGGTTTTGGGTTTAGGGTTTTAGGGTTTAGGGTTTAGGGTTTGGGGTTTAGGGTTTTAGGATTTAGGGTGTGGGGTTTAGGATTTGAGGGTGTAGGGTTTAGGGTGTTATGGTTTAGCGTTTGGGGTTGCCTCAGAAATTTCCCGTGATCGACCTGAGCAGCCAGACCGAAACCCAGTATCAGCCATGGATTCTAATGATCTTACTTTAAAGCCAGATTTTATTCCACAGTAGTGCATGGACTTTTATGGAAGAGGAGAACCATGAAGCATGGCCCCGTAAGTGCAGCAGCCAGGTGCAGTTCCGACGGCCCTTTGCAACAGACGACATCTCCGATATTACTCTTCCTGCTGCTTGCTCCACCATGAAGATTGTGCGTGTGGGGCGTTCCAAATTCAATTAAAGCCCTCCTGTTGCCCTAGCTATAGCATCCCAATATCATGCTTCAGACTCTCAGCCATCAACCCTATAAGCAGCGCTGGTTATCTTCATGAACTTGTTCCCAAGGTCCCAATCACCAACTCGTACTTGGACACTATAAAACCTTCCTGTTCAGGGTTCGTGTTTATGATTCCGTTATATAGGTCCCAAAAAGTAGGTTCTTTAGGGTCCAGGTAAACCCTGTAGGAGTCTAGTAAGTAGGGCTAAAGTATCTGCATGGAAAGTCCCATTCGAGCTACTCCGGTCTACACCCTAAAACCTCGGACCTTACACGGTAGGCTTAAAGCCTGAAGCATACATTCTAAACCTTACACCCTACAAGTCTTGGACCCTAAACTCTGTAAGCCTTTACAATCCTTCACGCCTGAAAACCTGAACGCTGCACTCATGATGCTCCCTGAGGAATCTCCGTACAGCCCTTTTGCAGCACTTCTAAAACCCTTTTAAAGCATTTGTGTGAATGGAGTTCTCACAGCAGCCAATTCGACAAATTTGATCCGCGCAGGCATTTCCAGCTGTTCCTGAGTACCAATACAGTAAATTCACTTGGGCCAGAATTCTGAATCCTCCACGCTTTCATTACACACGCCCCGAAAATCAAAACAGATCGGGGCGAATCCTCCCCAAATCATCCCTGCTCTTTAAAACGTAGTTGTTCTGAATGGGTTTCAGGGCTCCAAAAGACACATGAAAGAACAGAAGGCCTTGAACCCCTGAGCAACCATCCCTCCCGTATGACAATAAAGATGAACATAAACACTAATAATAAAACCACTTTCCGATGTGGAAGAGGGGGGCTGCCGTTTAATACAATGGGGAGGGGACTATCGGCCATTTCGGCACTTAAAAACCTAAATCCTAAATCCTTAACTTATAGACCCTTTGGGGACAGGTTCGCAGCGCCAAGATTCGCCTGATCTTTGCATTCGCTCGGCAAGATCCTTTTGAGACGTAAAGTTGGCTGCACCCAGAGCCGGACAAAAGTTGGGTGCGATAGGGCCTCAATTAATACCAACACTATCTTGGGGGTTCCTTATTGTAATTCTGATATAATTTATGGGCCCCAAAGCACTACATGAATTACTAAGGCCCCTGTATTAGTGTTCAGGGGTTTGGGTTCAGAGTTTGGGTTCAGGGTTTGGGTATTGCGGGTGCTTGAAGCTTCATAGATACATACAGGTCCGGTCATGCGTCCTGATTTGCTAGCTATACCAACAGTTTCTTTGCTTGCCTTCGTCCCCTGAGCTTCAAGCAATCCCCAAGGAAACAAGATCGCACATCCCTGAACCCTGTGACCCTTGCAATACAGTCTTCCCTGAAACTGAAAATCGCAACCCCAAAATCCCTACAGCCCCGCAGCCCTAGCGCCCTGAACTCATCTCCTACAGCAATTTATCCGTCTATGTCTGTGTATTCAAATATATATATATGTATATATATATATATGTGCATTGCATATATACGTATATGTCTAAGTTGATCTTCAATTCCTCAAAATCTTTAACCCCAAAGACAATGATGTCCATCCAAGGTACTTGGAGCAGCACTTCTCAACGTCTACGGGCTATGTGGACCTGCCTTGGAATTTAGACTGTGCCCTGGCGTATCCCTAAGGGTCCATGTGCTCATTCCTATTAAGGGAACCCTTAAAAGGGGACCTTGTAGAACCCAAGAGTACCCTAAAGGTACCCTTAAGGGATCCCTTAAGGGGAACCCTTAGGGGTTACTTAGGGGACCCTTAAGAGATCCTTTGAGGTTACTCAGTGTCACGTTTAGGGTTCTATACGGGCTGCTTGAAGGCTTTACGGTTTAGGGCCTAGGGTTTAAGGGTCCATGTATTCATGTAGTACATACTGCAGCATTAATTTTCAGGTAGACCTCGAAGCGAATCGGAAGTGAAGAACAAGAAAGCAGAATCCGTGGAGGGTTGCCATCGGAAGTGGCGAAGAAAGCCAAAGCGAAGGCCAAGGTTCAGCCTTCCTGGGTGGTGGGAACCCTTAAAGGGGACTTTATTGTAGAACCCTATAGTACCCTTAGGCCCATAGGGTACCCTTAAGGGATCCCTTTAAGGGTACCCAAATAGTACATACATTGGCCTTAACGTAGTCCCTATATAGGTACATTGCGCCCAAAGTATATACGATTTGGGTTCTTGGACCCTTAAACTATAGAACCCTTATAGAACCCGTAGTAAGCCTTAAAGTACCCTTAAAAGAACCCCCAGTTGGGTACATGGACCCTTAGGGAAAGCCAGCTGCTGCCAAGCGGACATTACTGGCGATGCAGTCTGCGGATTCTGCTCCCCCTTTCCTCGTGATACTGCTGATGGACAACATCCTGCATGACCCTAAGGACTCTAAGCTATGGGAATTATGGTATATTCCTTATAATGGGTGATGCAGGGTTTTGTCCATCAACAGTCGAAGGCTTTGCTGAGTTGATTGAAACAAAGGGCTGCCGCATCCTGCATCTTCGATCCGCATCAGAATCATTCTGTTTTTACCTGAAGGATTCAAAGGACCCAATAATTGAGTACTCGGTCTTAGGATAACGGTTATCAAGTCTCTTGGAGAGTACGTTATTAGGTACTTGGACCCTTTCGGTTAAATCCACTCTCCACCCCGGCTGAAGCTCAGACCCTGAACCGAGATTTTCATTCCTAAACCCTCACTCTACACTTCAAATCCCATATCCGAAATCCTAGGCCTAAAGCCCTAAACACTCGCACTTACACCCAGATTCGAATCTGCACCCATGCCCCCTTTCGAAACCTAAATTCAGCCCGTAAGGTGCTCCAGGCACATTTTTTGAAATGGCCACGACGGCATCTTGGCAAAATCGCGTCCTGCCGTTTCGAGAGTCACTGATCTTGGTACGTGTTTGAAATGAGCTGTCAGAGTTAGAGTTGGAGTCAGATTTATGGGTGCCAACCGTTCCGCTGAGTTGTTCCATGTGGTCCATGTGCACATGGTATGTACTTGGGCCTTAACTTGGTACTTGTATACACATGCATATATATATATATATATGTATGCATAAACGTATACATGCCTGAGAAGATGGTCAGCATAAGACCATTTAGAAGGCAGGCATGGGGGTGCACTGCAAGCGTGGTAAAGGCAGCTTCAAGATGAAACTGTAAGTTTATATATATATATATATATATATGTAAATACTTAAATAAATAAATAAATAAATAAATATATATATATATACTCCGCGTCCGAAGCCATTGCCAATAGCTGCAAAGAGCATGAAGCCCTGGTGCATAGAAGGAGCTCTTGCCTGCAGCCCCAAACCCTACAACATAGTAGGTTACGACCCTTTATGAATTACAGAGTACTTGGAGGGTTGGGGGACTCAGTAAGTAGGTAGTAAGCAGACTTATAAGTACCCTAAAAGGGACCCTGATTAGGGTTATGGTACTTATAAGTCCCTAAAATAACCAATTACTAAGTCCCCCGACCCTCCAAGTAGTACCCTAAACCCTAAACCCTAAACCCTAGACCCTAGACCCTAGACCCTAAACCCTAGGGCTTGGGGATCCCAGCTTTGGTTGGGAAAGCCTCAGCCCACCCTTGACCTTCAAAACAAACCCCAAGGGTCCAAAGGGTTTAGGGTTTAGGGTTTAGGGTTTAGGGAAGGACCCAATAATTAAGTGCTCGGTTTTAGGATAGTAGTTATGTAGGTTAGGATTTTGGAGAGCATATGATTATTAGGTACTTGGACCCTTGGGGAAACCCCAAAACCAAACGAACGGCCTTTGCAGAAGCCGGTTATCAGCTTACGGGCTCGAAGCTGCAAGTGCACGATGAATACGGGTACATAGCCTCCTAAGGCTTATTCCCCGTACTTATGAGATCATAGCCCCGAAAAGGTTCAAGCATTGCGGTTTCACCACAATCCTAGTCTAGCTACTAGCTATCAGGCCCTAGACCCTAAACCCTAAACCCTAAACCCTAAACCCTAAACCCTAAACCCTAAACCCTAAACCCTAAACCCTAAACCCTAAACCCTAAACCCCTAAACCCGAAACCCCAAGCACCATTGACTTTGTTTTAAGACTGGCTGTGCCAGGAGTGCAAAGCTTGCGACAAGGGTTTCTTCCGACCTGTCCCCTGGCTTTCTCTGCAGGGTTTGGGCTTTAGGGCTTAGATATTCTTACGAGAAAATTGAAAAGCTCGAAGGAGAGTTCGACGGGAGTCTTGGGTGTCTAGCCTTCGGGGGTTTAGATTGGGGCATTTTGGGACCCAAGGGGTATCGGGCTTTGCAGGGGTGGCTTCCTAGGGTGTTAGAGGGCGTAATTAGATCCCTTGACAAAAGTCTTATCTTCACTCATCATCAGTTGGTAGTTGGTAGGATACAGTTTGTCCGTGTGTGTGTGTGTGTCTGCTTTTTGATCCTGTATTGGTCTGGGGCTGGGGCTGGGGCGCTGTGGTAGCGATTTGGGTGTTTTTGCAAGGTTCACGGTGTCAAGCCTTTTGGAATTTAGGTTGCAGGGGCTTGCCTTGGGTTGACAGTTGAAGTTTCGTTCTCGAGGCGCGCAGGGGTCAACTTGTCCACTGCTTCTCGACTGTACAATGCAAGGACCTGAGCAAGAAACCTTCGGTCTTTATTACGGCTCTTTATTCGAATCCTGAATCCTAGCACTTCGGGTTACAGGGACCCGGGTACACCGCGGTAAACCCTACAAACCCAAACCTTAAAGCGTTTCTTACATCATGTTTGAGAATCCTAGGTTTAGCATGCTGTAGCCATTCAGTTTCCGGCCAGAAGTTGGGACATTCTTGAATCCCACCCTAAGGCCCCATGACATGGGGTTTAGGGTTTAGGGTTTAGGGGTTTAGGGTTTAGGGTTTGGGATTGTGTCTATATATGTAGTATATACTTAGGCATTAATGGGCTTCCTATATGATGTGTCCTTTCAGGCCAAAGTGCTTCATGGGCACTGGAGCCTTGGGGCAGATGGCCCTGAAGCAAAACACAAGATATCCGAAGACTGATCCTGCATCCATGTCCCACTTTATCATGTTTAACATTTCCCCTATCCCTCCAAGGACCTCTTAGTTAGGGCCTTTGTGGCCCTTAAGGACCCCATCATAAGGTCCCTGGGGGCATAGGGTTCGTGTCCGCGAAAGATTCGACCCTATGGATTCTATTTGGAACTTGCACGGGTCTTTGTGAGCAGGAAGTCACTACACTGGCAACAGTTTATGCTTCCACCCCCTGAGTGTTTTGAAGTCAAGGTCGCCGCTTTTATTTACATGACTCTGTCAGAACAGCATTTTGGAAGCCTGCATCAATTCCCACGTTGTGGCTTATGGTTCGTTCCTGTTGTGAGTATAGCAACCCCTATTAAAGTGTATAAATCCTACAAAGCCGTAAACTCTGAACCCTAAATCCCTATACCGGGAAAAAGCAGAAGCATTAGGATATGCGTCTGAGCCCTGGGTCCCGGGAACCGAAGCGTAACACGTTAATTAGTACTTACAGGATCATGGGACTTAGCAACTGGGGTTGTAAGTCAGGCAACTACGCTTATAGCTACTTACAACTCCAATTAAGGTACTTACAGCCTTACGTAGTAAATCCTGCAAGTAGACTGGTTGAGACCCGAGTCCTCAACGTGCGCTTCTCTCAGGCGAACACCTCCGTCTATTCCTGCATCCGAACTCCCCCAGGGACATTTCAGACGCTTTGCCGCATGTAGGTGTTGTGAGGCTCATCGTGGCTCGCAGTTGTGATAGGTGCGCTGGCAATCCTTGTTTGAGCCCTCTTAGCCAACTGTCGCCATGTCGAAAATGGTGCGCTGCATCACTTATTCGTAGGGCATTCTTTCAAGAAGACGAAACGAGCCATATCACGATGTTTATGTTCCTATGTCTCTATGCAAAAAATGCTGCCCTGCCTGGATTGTTTCTGGTAGTACTAGCAAGTGTATATATATATATATACACACATGTATACATATATGTAAACACACACACACACAGATGTACGTGTCTATATTAATTAGACGCACATTTTTGCTTTCATTCGGTTTGTCGGCAGCATCATGTAAATATAATGCCATACTGGACACACATACAAACAGGTTTACGGATTCGTGAACTCTTCCAGGCTAAACCCCTTCGCGGAGGGTTTTGCACTTATAGTCTCCATTGTAGTTCCTTTTTTGGTTAACCCGAATATATATATATATATATATATATATTTATACACACACATATATTTTTCTAGGATCCTATTAGGTAAATCTTGGAGACTATAGGTAGTCTTCATGTTGCTTCGGAAGGCTGCTTCAGGGGGCTCTTCGAAGCCGGTAGTGAGAGTAACCCAGACAGTCGTCCATAGATACTACCATTTAGGACCAAGAGTAGGCCCTTAATCCCTAATTAAACCCTAAACCCTAGGTGAAGGACCAGACGGTTTCCCTAAAGCCCGTTCTCCAAACCAGGGTGCCGAATGAGCGCCTTCCATGAAGGTTTTGACATCCCTGAACCCCAAACTCTGAGCCGTGTGCCTGTGACGTAGATGACGCCAGAAACACTGAAGCCTGGACACCCTATTATGGGGGCGGGACTGATTTGTAGTGGTAAAACTCTACATCCCAACACCCTGTTAAAATTGATTTGGGCTCCTATGTTGGCATGCAGGAACGAGACGGGCCAAGCATCGGCGAAGCCGTGCAAATCGGGCTTCACCACCCCAGCATCTGGTGCCATCCAGGACTTCGCAGCTTTGACGGATTTTAGCTCCGACGAATGTGGGTTCCTTTAAGGGTTCCCTCTACAGGGGCCTAACAGGATTACCTAGGATGCCCAGTAGTACCCTTATTCCTTTTTTGTAGTCCTAGGTTCCTTGTAAAGTTACCCAATACCTAAAAGAGAGGCCTTTTTGTTTTTAGGTTACTGGGTATCCTAGTTACTATACAGGATATTATGAGGATCTAATATAGGGGCCTAATTACCTTTACTATTTTTTGGGGGGGGTTCCTAACTACAATTATAGTATAATCGGCCCCAAGACCATATTCTAATCATCTGGGCGCCTATCATGACCTGGCTATCCCAAGTCCTAGTGTTTAGTTAGGGAGTTCAGCTAAGGGCTGTTCTAGCATAAGCTAGTACTTGGAAGGGTTAGCACCTATGGCTATTGGGTCATAGCCTACTATGTCGCTTGTTTGGGGCCCCAGGGAATGAGCTGCAATACTGCTCCTTGCAGTTCCCCCCATGCAACACAAAAGTCAGAGTATGAAGCCACCCGAGACATTATTCCAACTTTTAAAGGCCCAATGTGAATGTCAGGTATGAGTAGTTTTTTTTGTAGATGCCCCTCACACGAACAGAGCAGCGGGCCATGACTTATATAGGTACATGGAGGCTTGGGTAGGTGTCGTCGAGGACAGCATCCTGCTGTCTAGCATCGAAGCCCTTTAAGCTGCCACAGCCTTAAGACTCAACCCTGATCCCTTAACCTTATAGCATACCCTAAGGGTCCATGTACCCAAATAGTATATACTTAGGGTCCAATGTACCTATATAGGGGGACTACATTAAGGCCAGTGTATATACTATTTGGGTACATAGACCCGTAGGGATATACACTTCGAAGGACCGCTCTGGAACCCTAAATGCAAAGCAGCTGAGGAATGCGTCTGCCCGGGTCCCTCTCTGTCCGTGCCGCGTGGGAGGCTCTCCACGCCCTGTTCATTCAAGAGTTCCTTCAAGGCTTTCTGTGGGGTTCCTAATAAAGGCCCAAGGTTTCTTAATCAGGTTCCTACATGGTTATAACACCCTTATTATAGATCTCCTATAGGAGCCCTTATAGACCCCTTTTAAAGGAAAGGAACCCCGCACCTGCAAAGGAACCCGCCTAAAGACGGACCCTTAAGGGTTCCGTCAGGTTCGGGGTTCAGGGTGCAGGATTAAGATGGACTAAGGGTATCATACTAGAAGGGCGAGGGATTCCAGGTTTCAGGATTTACAGCGTAGAGTTTCTATCTGGAATTTCAGAGGTTTGGGGGTTGTTGATATTTAGACGGCTTGCAATAGGTCGCTGTGAGGTTATCTGTATGTTTCTTTGTAGCTTTAGAAAGTTAACGAGCCTCAGTTTGTATTTCGTTTTTGCTGCACGCTTTTGGAGGTATTGGGCTTTGCCATGCTGCACTTTATATATACATACATGTATGTATATAGAGGTGAGAAAAGTCTGTGTGTGTATATATATATATATATATATATGGTAAGGTACCATATGTGCATACATGCAGGTATTTGTTTTTGGGAATTTCTAGATTGGGGTGAGATTTGTCGTAGCAGGTACCATGTGGACGTCTGCGACGGGGCTCCGCGGCGCGATTCACAGGCCATGGGAAACGCAAAACTCTTAAAGGAAGCCAGAGTCCAGTACAACGCATTTTCTCTGGCATTATGTCCACCATTATTCCCTAGTGCTCTCTTATCCTAGGTGTAGCACGATAATCGACCCCGAAATCCAATCTCTTTTCATGATCTCGCCTATGTTATGCTTGCTCAACCAAGCTTGAGTCCCGAACATTACGCCAATAACTTTGGCTTCGGCCATCCAAGTTCCCATACAGTATGCTTATCCCAGAGCGAGAAACCCTCAATTCTCGCTCTGTCTGTGTCTCTTTCTCTCTCTCTCTCTCTCTCTCTCTCTCTCTCTCTCTCTTTCTCTCTCTCTCTTTCTCTCTCTCTCTTTCTCTCTCTCTCTCTCTCTCTCTCTCTCTCTCTCTCTCTCTCTCTCTCTCTCTCTCTCTCTCTTTACATATATATATATATATATATACATATGTGCATGTATGCTTTGGACATGAGCTTGCTCAGAACTGCACAAGCTAAACGGAGGTGTGCAAGACAGATGTTTCTGGCAGACGCTGTAGCAAGATCTCACTAACTCATGATAAGCTCTCTTGCCCCAAGATGCTTTCTAAAGTGCCCATATTAATTGCCAACAGGGTCCAAGTATTCAGATTGGTGCTGCAGGTTCACGCTACTACTGTCTGGGTAGTTGCTGGCGCCTGTTTGGAGGATCATGGGACTTAGTAAGGGTTCCTCAAAGGGCTCTTTAAAGGGATCTATAGGGGTTTAGGCTTTAGGGTCTACTTTATACGTCCCATTGATGTTGCTTGGGAGATATAGGTAATTGTAAGTATAGTGACTCTAAACAACCATAATTCGTTGCTAAGGCCCTAAACCCTAAATCCCTATAGATCCCTTTAAGGAACCCTATAGATCCCTTTAAAGAGCCCTTTAAGGAACCCTTGCTAAGTCCCATGATCCTTTGTGTATATACCCTTTGGGCCTGCAGGTTGCATACTTTAGCACCGGCAACTTGCCTGTTAAGGGACCATATGGGGAAATCATAAGAAGCCCTACTTGGAGGATCATGAGACTTAGTAAGTAAGGTTAAAAGTACCTTAATTGGGGTTATAAGTAGTTCTAAGTAGAGTTACCCTAAATATAACCCTAGTTACTAAGTCCCATAATCTTTTAAGTAAGAAGCGTAGGCATCTTGGGGTCCAGCTATTTCCCCACATGCACAATAAGCTCATAGAAACTGAGCCCCAAAACCCGAAGCCTAAAAATTCAATCCGTAAACTCTACTTAGATCCCCAATACCCAACCTTTAAACTTTTTGGGCTCTTATAGTTTATTTCTGCATGTCGATTGTTGGAGGAGACAGTCTAGCATGCGCCAGGGCCTTCTAATACGCTGCGCCAGACTGGGAAACTGCCTCGACTGCCCCGAGGTTCCCAGGCAGCATCTAAAGGCTTTAAGGTTTGTAGGTTCTTAAATATTTTTGTATACCATATATAGCCTAAACCCTGAACCCTAACCTTAAACCCTGAACCCCTAAAACCTATACCTTAGGGTTGTAGGTGGTTTGGTTGTATTTGAGTTTTTTACCGGAAGTTTTGGGATTTCGGGTTTATGACTTCGGGAAGCTTCGGGCTTATGTACCTGGACACCTGAACTACGGTTGATGATAGAAATCCTGCATTAGCCACAATAAGGACTATAGTGTAATTCCCATAATTTAGGGTCCTTAAGGTAATGCAGCTTTATATCATCAACAGTAGCACTAGCCTATACTCTGGATCTTGCCCCTAGCTGGGTTCTATTTAAATTGTGTTATCTAATTTAAGTCACCATAATAGAAAAAAATCAGAAAAGTGTTTTACGTTTAGAGCCCTATTATGGTAACTTAAACAAAGTTCGTGAACCCTTGAAGGAACCCTTATAGATGCCTTACAGGAACCCTTATAGATCCCTACAAGTAGTATGGTAACTTTAAGCTAACGGTCCTTAACAGGACCCTAAGCCCCAAACCCTAACCCAGCTAAACCCACAACACCATTTTGGCAAACCCTCCAAAGTAAACCCTAAACCTCAAACCCTAAACCCTAAACCCTAAACTCTAAACCCTAAGCCCTAAACCCTAAACCCTAACCCTAAATCTTAAACCGTAGCCAGCTAAGCCAAAAGGTCGGTCTTTTGGGGCCCTCTAAGGCTTTCATGAGCGGTAGTTTTTTCCCGCACTGGTCTTTAAGGGATCTAAAAGGGTAGTATTTCGAGGGGTTTTGGGGTGTAGAGTTTGGGGGGTTTTGGGTTTAGGGGTTTAGGGTTCGCTTTATCCGGACTTGTCTTTAAGGGATCTGTGAGGGTACTATTTAGGGTTCAGGGGTTTTAAGGTGTAGGGTTCAGGGTTTGCTTTTTCTGGGCTTGTCTTTATGCCATCTGTACGGGTACAGTGTGTTAGCATAGACCATGTCCATTTTCACCCATGGGCACCCCCCTAGCACCAAAACCATAACAACGTATACCTCAACCCTAACCCAACCCAACATCCATAGGTAGAACCCTAGGAAAGACCCACCCGAAGACCCAAAACCATAACAATCTATACCTCAACCATAACCTCACCAAAAAACCCAGAATAAGACCCACATAATGGAACCACCAGAAGACACATAGGAAGACCCACATAGAAAGCCCCCAACCTCAACCCCATACACCCATACTCCCATAGAAAAACCCATATTCCCCATCCCGAAATCCCTAACCCTTGAAAATGGAAATGGTCTTCTTAAATAATTTTACAATAATAGGAATAAGGTTTAGGAATAACGTGGCAACGGCAATGAAGTCAAAGAGTAGTACCTACGGATTACACTAGTGGTGATCATTGTTGTTAGTACTGTGACTAGAAGAAGTACTGGTACTAGTTTTGTTGCGGCAATTTTACTAGTCGTTTTCGGCTTCAGCATGTTTCTTGGTGCAGGTTGCGACTTTTGTTCAGTCTCCAAGGGTCTTTGAATTTCCTGGCCTTCTCTCACAGCAAATAGCCACGATGATATTAATAGTAGTGATACTCATGAACTTTATAGTCATAGTAATACAAGTAGTAGTAAGAATACTACTACTAATAGTAGACATAATCATGATACTCTTACAAGTATAGTCGTACTTGTAATTATATTATGAGAATGGGTAATAATGACCCTAAACCCAGCCCTAAATCCCTTAACCCTAAACCCTCAGACGAAGACGAAGAAGAATAATAAGAAGGATAGCAGTAATAACAACAATAACAATAGTAATAGAAATGCTACTAGAAGTGCTAGTCGTAATAGTACAAAATAGCATCAACTGCTTGTTTGCATGGTCGTCTTTCCGCATGAAGTGCGCCCCATGTGTTCCGGCATGCATCTCTCAATCGTTATGAAAGCTGTACTGGTACTTACCACATTCTCCTAGACATCCATGACGGCAAGGCGGTTTGTTCTGCCAGTCTGCGCTGGCCACGCGCAGGTTCCCGTGCTTTATCAGTCGCGTTTCGCTCTGCCTCAGCTTCGTGCTGGATGCTTGTTCAGAAACATACCTTCATGGACTCAGAGCGCCACATCCCCACCACACTACGGGAAGTTTCAAGCTTCTTGCAACCATTGTCGCACTTTTGTCACGAGGAAGGGCACCGGACACGGGCAGTGTCACTGGCCGGCAGGTTTCAGAGACGGTTGGGTATTCGCAGCTGGCAGGCATCACACTTGTGCAGTGCGGTCAGATGGTCGGCTTGTCTGCTTTGGATCGAATGAACATGGGCAGTGTGATGTGCCAGCAGATTTGGGACCAGTTGTGGCAGTCGCAGCTGGCGTTTTTCACACTTGTGCAGTGCGGGCAGGTGGTCGGCTCGTCTGTTTTGGATCGAATGAAGATGGGCAGTGTGATGTGCCAGCAGAGTTGGGACCAGTTGTGGAAGTCGCAGTTGGCTGGTCTCACACTTGTGCGGTGCGGTCAGATGGTCGGCTCATCTGTTTTGGATCGAATGAAGATGGGCAGTGTGATGTGCCAGCAGAGTTTGGGACCAGTTTTGGCAGTCGCAGCTGGCGAATTTCACACTTGTGCAGTGCGGGCAGATGGTCGGCTCATCTGTTTTGGATCGAATGAAGATGGGCAGTGTGATGTGCCAGCAGAGTTGGGACCAGTTTTGGCAGTCGCAGCTGGCGAATTTCACACTTGTGCAGTGCGGGCAGATGGTCGGCTCATCTGTTTTGGATCGAATGAAGATGGGCAGTGTGATGTGCCAGCAGAGTTGGGACCAGTTTTGGCAGTCGCAGCTGGCGAATTTCACACTTGTGCAGTGCGGGCAGATGGTCGGCTCATCTGTTTTGGATCGAATGAAGATGGGCAGTGTGATGTGCCAGCAGAGTTGGGACCAGTTTTGGCAGTCGCAGCTGGCGAATTTCACACTTGTGCAGTGCGGGCAGATGGTCGGCTCATCTGTTTTGGATCGAATGAAGACGGGCAGTGTGATGTGGACAACCGCTGATCTTGCAGAAAAAGCGAGACACTGAGTGCCAAGGTGGCCTTAGCCTTCCTTGAACTACTCGGTTTAGAGTTTAGGGTTTAGGGTTTAGGGTTTAGGGTTTAGGGTTTAGAGTTTAGGGTTTAGGGTTTAGGGTTTAGGGTTTAGGGTTTAGGGTTTAGGGTTTAGGGTTATGGCCAGCCCCTTTGACCCCAGAACCAGAAGTTGGAACGGCGGTCTTGAAACCATGTGAGTAGCAACGTCAGTATAGCTGTCCAGCCACCCTCAAGCCTGCGGTTTAGGGGTTTAGGCTTCAGGGGTCTTCCGTGAGTACTGCCCCCAACCCTGTAACAGTTATATAACTTTTCTAATCGTACTTAGATATAGTCCTGAATATGGCCCCTAATATTGACTGTTACAGGGTGGGGGCAGTACGGAAGTACCCAAACTCTTCCGGTTGAAATGACTCCATCAGGAGGGATCCAGCAGCACTTAGGGTTTCCGTGTGTTTCGGGTTGGGGATTGAGGGTACTAGGCTGTCCTTAGGGGTTGGGGTTCATGGATCTGGGTATGTGGAGTTTCAGTGATGGCGTCTGCACTCGGGATCTCAGGCGTTCGGTTTGCTTTGGATCCTTGTTTCGCAATTTGGGGGCCCTAACTCAGGCAACCGTGGTTTCGCTGTCTCACCACAGCAGGAGACTTTCGGGAAATTCTTGCTACATCACCAGAAGCACCTACTATCTCATTCGTTCTTGTGTGAGTTGGCCCGAACTGTAATTTTTGTTTGTGGCCAAGCCGACGCCGAGCCGCACCATGCCTTGCTACTGAGGGGATGATCTGCAGGGGAGCGCGGGACATCGTTGTCAATGCGCCATGGCCGCCGTTGGTCTTGACACACACAAGCCAATTAGCATCATAGTGGTCATATAGACATAGCAGTATTTCCACATGATGCTCACTGAAGTTTACTAGGATCGGAAGGTGGTTGGGCTTCAACAGATGCTGTTCATGTTCAACAAGTTACCTTGCTTATGAGAGGATTGCTTCAAGATTCTGAACCCCAAAACTCTCAGCACGAAACGCCGTATAACAAACTCAGGAAGGAAACTGGGATTTGCTCTCCTTTTCTCAAAAGTGCGAATGCCTAGACCGTACACTGCCCCACCCCCTGCGGTACCAGTCGCCCCGATAGTAGCCCTTATACACAGGCCTGTGGTAACATCTTCCATTCTTAGCCGACAGCAGGACGGGGGCGCAGCATCACGCTTGGCCACGTTCTGCCTCTCCTATGCATATGCGGACATGGAGGACGCGGTTTAGAAAACAGCGATGCGTGTTTGCGGAGCTTCTGCAGCGAAGCCTGTCAAGCTCTGCGGGTGACATACACTGGATCGTGCGACTTACAAAGTCGGTTTTGGCCTGAAGCTATCCTCGTCTAAACCACGAAATCCATCATTCACCCGAGTTGCAAAAGTTCAAGAATACATACAAAATAGATCTGTACGTACATATGCATAAATACATGTGTATATATATATACGTATGTAAGACACACACACACACTGTGTATATGTATTATGTACACTCTCAGTATGCTTGTTTAGTTGATGATCCGGGGGCCCTCCTGGTGTACAGGTCGAACCCCCTCAACATCCGGACGCAAGTGTCGATCGAAGCTCTGAAGCCTAAACCCCACAACTCGAGGGTCCTTATTAGGGATCCTTAAATTAAAAGGGGTCCTTAAAGGGATCTATGGGGTTCTATTGGATCCTTGAAAGGGGTCCTTAAAGGGATCTATAGGGTTCTACAAAGGGGGTTCTTAAAAGGATCTACAGGGTTCTTAAAGGGATCCTTAAACGGGGTTTTTAAAGGGATCTATAGGGATTCTACAAGGGTTCTAAGGGATCTATAGGGTTCTATAAGGGATCTATAGGGTTCTATAAGGGGCCCTTCGAGGGATCTATAGGGTTCTATAAGGGTGCTTAAAGGGATCTATATGCTTCTATACGGGATCTATAGGGTTTGGAGTTTGGGGTTTAGGGTTTAAGCGTTTCCATGACCCCCTAACGGCCCTTTAATGGAGCCCTTATGGTCTTTTATAGTTGGTATTTAGGGTATATTAGAGGTGGTCTAAGTGAGTGATTACGAATACCGGCTTCCTGAACTGTCAATCCCTACACGACCGCGAGACATCCCGTTCTAAACCTTGGACGCAAAGCTGTACTGGACTGTACTTCAGAACCTTGCAAGTCCCATAATATAGAACCCTTTAGAACCCTTCTGTCACAAATCTAGCCCCTAAGCCCTGAAACCTCCGTTTCAACCTCCCAGCCGGGCACAGGAGTGTACTTCGCGTACATTTTGTGATGCCAATCCCGAGGACCCTATTACTGTTACATGTTGTTATAGACTGGGGGACCCAGAGCAAGCCCTTAATTCCTTTTTAGGGTTCAGGTTCCCTTTTTAACCTAAAAGGGCACCCTTGTTATGCCGAGGTTACTCTTCGGTTTAACAGATACCGAGTTTGGTAGCATACATTGAGTTCCATAGCCCTAAACCCTAAACCCTATAGCCCTACCCTAAGGCTCCTATATAAAAGGGTCATGGGCTTTCTGAGGGCGGGTTTTTGGTTTCGGGAGCTAAGGTTTAAGGGTCCGGGGGTGCAGGAGCCTAAGGGTACAGCCTAAACTGGCCTACTTGGAAGTGCATGGGTAGTTATAAGTGTACCTGGACCCCCAAAATATGTAGAATTCTAGCCTTTTAGAGGCTTTGGGCCGTTATTTTATTTACTTTGGGGGGTCTAGGTAGTTATAAGTCCCCTAATATGTCTTATAATTATCGTTACCTTACTTATAATCCCACTTATAACTACCCCTGAACCTCCAGGTAAACCCTTAGCAGCCTTAGCAAGAACCAAGCCTCGTGTCTCCTTTGGCCTCAAGCTGGGTCCAATCTCCTGCCCCTCCTTAACTTTGTACTTTTTTTTGTGGCGGTTTAGGGTTGAGGGAACTCCTCCTTGGGATTTGCCCAAACACCTTTTTTTTTTCTGAAGCCCTGACAGGAATACATTCTCCTTTGGGGCGCTGACTTGGAGACTTCGGAAAGATTGGGCCCACTCTCAGGTTTTTTTTTGCTTGTTGTTTATGGCGCCGTCGCTTAAAGCATGCCAAGCAGCAAGGTGTAGCTCTCCTATAGACCCATAAGTATACCCCAAAGCCGTAGTCGAATCCTCAGTATGAGGATAGAATCTCTACCGATTACCCTCCCCTTCTTGTCTGATAGTGCCTTGTCAGGTCTGCTTCGGGCTTCGCAAGTGCTAATTCCCACGAGGCTTCCAGTGTCCAGGGCTTAGGGTTCAGGGTTTAGGGGTTTCGGGTTTCGGGAAGACTGCTGCCTCCAGTGGGAGTTGCGGGGTTTAGGCAGAGTGGGCCCGATGTCGCCAACATAGAGCCGTCGGAAATTTATCACTTTCAGTGTTGCAATTTACGGGGCCATGGTGGCACATGACAATGCATGCAAGCACACCAGCATGTCACAGACACATAAAAGAAGTTCAACATGATGGCCTTGTCTCCCAATGAGATTGTGCGCCGGCAGTTGCTCTCAGAGGATTGTGGACCTGCTCCTGGGGATCCAGCTGCGAAGTCGCACCTCTCCGAGGAGGGGAATCCAGCTGCGAGATGGCACCTCCTCGAGTAGACTCCGCCCTCCGTCTTGGCGGCGATGCGCACGCCGCGGTGGATTCAGGGTCAAGGACGACGTTGCGAGTTGCCGTTGATGATCCCATTGACGACGCCGCCATCGCGGGGCCCGATTTCAAAGACGACGCCGTGCCCACCGTTCGTAACTTAAACATGCAGTCTCTAAAGTAGTTAGCACGAACAATACTAAGTGCTAGATCCAACCCAAGGGCCACATGAAAAGGTCCTGCATACCCTCGTATGGTGATTTCCCAATCTGCTGGTGGTTTCAGGGGCCCAAATTTTGAAGCATACTTTCTGTGCAACAAGGCGGCTCAGCGTGGTGCCTCTGGGGTGAGCATGAACTTTTGCAAAGTCTGCATCAAAGTGTTCCTATCATGGTGTGAAATGAGGTACTTGGAGCGTAAAGCCTGAGCCCGGAAGCCTCATCAACCGAATAATTAAAGGGGCCCTAATTAAGAATTACCGATATTATTTTGGAGGTTCCTTATTATAATTATCGTGGTATGATGGGCCCCCAAAGCACCATTCCACTTGTAAAGGCCCCTATCTTATGCAACTGATGAGAGGACCCTGCCTGTGACCACGCCCCTCCGGAGCTGTTGCCAGGCAGGGCCCAGCGAAGCCTCACTTCAAAAGGGTGGGTTCACAGTCACCCTCATGATCGTGAGGTTTCCGTAGCGGCAAAAACTACAACATAAACGGATGTGGCCCGTTCATCAAAGGGTACAGCCCCGAAAACAATAGGGTTTCGAGTTCAAGAGGATGGCAGTGGGCAGGGTCGATTCTCAATTTTCGTTCTTCAATACTTTGCTATGGCAGTCAAATTGTCAAGGGTTCAGGATTTAGGTTCAGCGAACGTTATGCTTGATTTTCTTGGTTATCATCGGGAAGTAAGCACTAAGGTTGGGATGGTCTGAACAGAGTGTGGAAGACTAGCAATTGTTGTGAAGCCATGAGTCTTGTCACGGTCATGACGACGGTCGCATGCTATTGCAACTAATTAACCGTACACTGCGAGCTGAGATGTTTATTGAGCTTGATTCTCGATTTTGGTTTCACGACGGGGCGACAGTGACATTGTGACAAGGGACCCGCTATGTAAGCACTTCGCAGGTAGGGTTCTGCGCATCGTGCGTGCTTGGCGTTCCTCTCTTTGCAAGTAATGAAGCTTGTGACCCCAGTTACATGTTACCCTTATGCGCTGAGCATACAGGATTGCGGCCTAGAGAGTACAAGGTATTGAGCTCGGAAGGGTTGCCTCGGGTATCCCAGCCCCGTAAACTCACAGGAGAGTTGTTTCAAATACGCAAGGAACGACGGCAACAACCACAACAACAGCAACGGCTAGAAGGAGCGAAAACTATGGCTCTTGACGAGACGTGCAGTGGCATGCCCTCTGAAGTACACCGCCTGAACCCCACATAACCCCTGAAGCCCTAAAGCTAAGCCCCTAGGCCCGAATGTCCAATCCCAAAACTGCTTGCGAAGAGGCTTCTGGTCGGCTGCTGACGAGCCCCTGTCTGTGCCACTTGTGCATCACCAACATGGGGGGGCAGGGTGGGGTTTTAGGGTATAGGGTCCCTTATCCTCAGGAGTAGTATTGATCTTGTCGTTAACATCATACATATTTCAAAGCCTAGTATCAGTATAAAGGATGCTGGTATGCCTTATATCTATGTACTCCAAAATGCTACCCTAAACCTACAGTAGAAGCCAGAAAGTTGGAACATTCTGATCCTCATGCCCTTAAGCAAAGTATAAGGGAGCCTAGCACTAATCATCCTAAATCCATGTTCCACCTTTCTGTAAGTACCTAAAGTAAGTGTCAGAAGGTCTTTTGAACCCGTAAGGCTCGGGCGATCGCCCAAGGCGCTCTTGTCAGAATAAAGGGAGGATAGGTTTTGATCCCCAAGACCTATAACCTTTAAACTTTTTGCGTTCTTATAAGTTGAGTAGGAATCGGAAAGTTTAACCTTTCATTTCTGTGGCTTGATGGGAGAGTAAGTAGTAGAGTCTGAGATTCATGTTGATTCCTCAAACCCTCAGCCCTACACCCAGAGCCCCAAACATAAGTGCGTTTGCGTTTTCGCCCGAGGCTGTCTTGTAAGAACGCGCTACACTGCCTGGGCGGGCGGCCTGGAGCAGTTTGCGCTTCCGGGCGCGAGGCGTGAGGGATTAGGGTTTTGGGGTTTAGGGATTTAGGCTTTCCAGCGACTCCAAAACGCTTTGATTAAGGAATGAACCTTGGATGGTATTATTGGCCCCTCTATACTCCAAAAGGTCCATGTGCCCATGTCGTACCTTGGCCCTTGAGTACCTAAGTAAAGACTACACTGAGGCCAAGGTACATACTATACGAGTACATAGACCCTGAGGGTTCTATTCCGGAGTTAAACGTATGCAGAGTCTCTGGGTTTGTAAGCGGGCTTAGTAAGTATAGGTTAGGGTTCCTTTAAGGTGTTTCTGAAAGGGTTGCAGTAACTGTTCTACGAGAAGGGGAGTTGGTAATACGTGTTGATATTTATAGTGTGTGGTCCTTAAAAGCAGGACAGGGTCTCGGGATCTGTTAGACTCAGTTATGCAGGGACAATAAGCGGATGCTATGTTGATGCATCAGACTTCCACAGCAGGCAAAAGTGGCCTCCGCAAGTCTCAGGAATCGTAAGCACTTATAGGGCCAACATGCCCAGTTTACAGGTACTCTTCGGGCTTGGGCAGGAACCTAGTTTCAGCTTTGATTTGAAGCCCAAACCAGACCATCAAACTGTAGTTTCTATCGTATTCATTTTTGGCAGGAACTGAAGTGCTAAACGAATATTCGAGGAGTGTTTGGGGGTCGGTTTCGGTTCACCCTACACCTTCAACACTAAGCCCCTAAACCCTAAATCCTAAGCCTAAGCCTAACCCTAAGGGTCCAAGTACTCCCCATAATTATAGGACTTTGGGTCTATTTTAAATTTTCTGACACCAAAAACCATAAACAAGAACTACTTGGATCCTTACCCAGCAAGTTGCAAAGAGGAAGGGGGAAGCAACGGTTTAGGGTAAAGGGTAGGAAAGCAACAAAGACACAAGGAACATTGCCTAGAAGCGACGGAAAATGTAGGGACTTAATCGGGGTATGCAGGGTTTTTTTATGGGTTTGGAGCTGAGGGTTCAGCGTTCATGTTTTGAGGGCTTTCAGCTGAAACCTTTCCATGAGGGTCCAAGTACCCATATAGCATATACTTTGGGCCCAATGTATCTATATAGGGAGTACTTAAAGGCCAATGTATATGCTATATGAGTGCATGGACCCTTAGGGTTTCAATCAGAAGCCTAGACTACAGGGCTTTCTCTTACATGACCCGAAGACCGTAGCCAGCTCTAGTTTGAAGCGTTTGTGTAAGGCCTTATGCATCAAGGAGTTCACTGAAGATCAAGGAAGAGCGGACTATGGCATTCTGAACTTCCGAAAGGGTCCAAGTGCCAGTGTAGTAGGTACTTAGTAGGTGTACTCGACCCCAAAGTGTATACTTAGACTACTGCTGATGGACAAAATCCTGCATCACCCATTATGAGGAATATACCATAGTTCCCATAGTTTAGAGTCCTTAGGGTCATGCAGGATTTTGTCCATCAGCCGTATTACTTGGATCCTTTGGATTACAAAACTCATCAAGCCCCAACGGAGCTAACGTCTTGAACTATTCCTTGCTAGACGGCTGCTGGATTCTCAGCAGTCTAAGGCCTTCGCAGCAGCCAGGGTCAGTGTCAAACACTTCAAAATATGGGGTTGAGCCTCAGGGGATAGCATGCGGCTGGTGCAAAGAAAGCCACTTCAGCAGCAGCGACGGTACCTGCCAGGGGCCCAGCAGCGCTCACGAGCTAAGCCATAAACCCCTAAAGCCCTAAACCTCTAAACTCTAAGCCCTAAACGCTAACCCCTAAACCCTACAACCCTATAGACCCTAAACCCCCAGACCCTAAACTCTGAGTCTTGTCTCGCGGTTTTCGGCCTTTTACACGCCCTGCAGCGATGACTTTCTGGGATATTGCTACAGATTACTGTGTTCATCTTAGTTCCTTTCTGTGTAGGTAAGTTTCCCAGAGGGTCCATATACACTACGATTATGGAATTAGGGCCCCAAGTCCATAATGGGGATGGTCTGATAGATAATGGTAGTGATGGTAGTGTATATGGACCCTAAAACCTAAACCCTAGACCCTATAGAACCCTTGAAGGAGCCTTTGAAAGAACCTTATTTGGGCGTGTGTGTGTGTGTGTGTGCATATATATATATATATGTATATATATATATATGTATATATATATATATATATATGGACCTTAAACCGAAACCCTAAACCCTATAGAACCCTTGAAGGACTTAGTAATTAGGGTTATAATTAGGGTAACCATACTTATAACTACTTCTAACCCCAATTGAGGTACTTATAACACCTTAGACCCCCAACCTTTAAACTTGGTGGGTTCTTATAGTTTAGTAGGGGTCGGAAAATTTAACCTTTTATTTCTGTGGCTTATAGGGGGAGTAAGCTACCCTAAGGCCCCCAATGGTATAATGTCAGAGTTATGGTATAACATCAAAGTTATGGTAGTATATAACTTACCTACATTCTATTGCCAAGGCTCGAACCCTAAATCATTAAACCCTAAACCCTGAAACCCAAGAACCCTGAAGCCCTAAACCCCTAAACCGCTCAACCCTAAGCCCTCAATCACCAGAACTATACAGGCCAGCTTATAGGGCACTCGTACAGGAGTGGCAAAGGTAAGTTCAGTTGTTGTTCAACTCTTTCGGCCCCCCCCTCTTGAAGCTGGTATTCGTAGTCACTCACTTAGACCCCCCAACTACCCTCTAATATGCCCTGACTACCCGCTATTAAGGACCATAAGGGCTCCATTAAAGGGCCATAGAGGGTTCTGGTAGAGCGTGCACAAGGCAAAACTTGAAACACCAAAGCTTAGACCTCAGCCTGTATAGTAGCCCGTATAGGAGCGTGAAAGGAAATGTTCAGCAATACCACCTTAAGCCCTGAAGAGCCTAAACCGGTACACGGTTTCGGGTTTAGGGAAACCTTTAGGCTTTCAGTTGAGGTTTGGCGTTTCGGGCTTCAGGGATATTTATCTGATCTAATGTATACCTAGACCCCCAAAAGTAGGTAAAATAATGGCCAAAAACCTATAAAAGGCCATTATGCTACATTCTTTGGGGGTCCAGGTATCCACGATATTCGTTGTTCCCACTGTCGTCCACATCATCCTTTGCGCTGCAGTTCTCAGCAAAGCTCACACCTACCTGCACCACCATCATAGTCATAAGAAATCCTAAATAAGCATAAGCAGAAGGGCCATGGACATACTGCAACAAGAAGGATGGAAATTGCCGTCTGCGTTCGTCGAGCCCAACGTTTACTAGCGGCTAGGAAAACGGTATTCTCCGATATTACAGCTCTCTCCCTCTCTCTCTCTGTCTGATTTTTTGCATTTCTGGATTTGTACCTGGCAACATGGCACCATTATTGTTGACCATATATGCATTCTCGGAGCAGGTGTACCTTGCCAGGGGGGCGACAGCCTACCGGGCTTCTTAGCGCTTGCGGCGGTCTTTGTCATCGCGCTTGGCCTAGCGCGATACATGCCACCTGGCCGTTAAGCACGACGAGGGATGGGTCAGGATTGCGAAGAATGGCATTAGGGGGAACCAACGTATCGGCCGACTGTCGGCAGGCGGTGAGTACTTTTCGTCTACCTAGTAGTAGGGTAAGCAACCTTTAACATTGTTGGGTTGTTTAGTCTCTATATAACCCTGTTTTAACCAAAAAGGTTAACGTTTAGTTCCCCATGATACCCGACGGTACTATCGCCTACTTACCACGCCCGACTCTCGCAGAGCTGAGCCCTGCGCATGCCCGGCAGCTTCTGAAGTTTACTATAGGGTTTAGGGTATAGACTATAGAAATGAAATTTATTACCAGTAAAATCTACCCCCAAACCCTATTTGAGTCATTCACCCTCAACCCTAAACCTAAAGCGTTAGTGCTGTTGGGTGCAGCCCTCACGGTTCAAATGCTGCACCAGAACCCGGGATTTGGTTGCCAAGTGGTTCAGGGTTTCGGTTCTTGAGGTTTGGGGTTCAATAGTGTATTCAGCGCCGTGGTTTCAGGAGGTTTTAGGGGTTTCGTTGGTTCTCGTTACAGCGGTCAGGGTAAGGACGTTTTGCTTCTGAATGTACTACTACGGATTTACTTAGACCCCCAACTATCCGTTAATGTACCGTACATACCCACCGTTAAGGATAAGCACACATTGTAGCACATTGTTGGGGAAAGAATGTTAGGTTTCGTAGGATGTCGCAGGAACTTCGTCGAAGTGACACTCCCTTTACAGTGCGTGTATAGGGTTGTGGGTTTAAGGTTTTGGGCTTAACGGGGTTTGGAGACCTCCCACAGATTTTCCCACCGTTTGTTTGTGGTTTACGGCTACTTTTCATGCTGTTCCTTTCTCTTCTAAAGGAGTAGAGCTACCCCGAAGCCCTAAACCCCAAAGCAAACATAAACCCTACTTAAAGGATCATGAGACTTAGTAACTAGGGTTATACTTAGGGTAACCATACGTATAAGTATAACTCCAAGTATAAACCTCAAAGACCCAGAGCGAGCCCGAGCCCAGTGGAGTGCGCCACCGTACTTGGAGGTTCATGGGTAGTTAAAAAGAGGAGCTATACTTTCCCAAATATGGGGTGTTATAATTTGTAGCTACCTTACTTAGAACCCCACTTATCACTGCCCATGAACCCTAAACCCTATGCCCTTCTAGAATCCGTATAGATCCCTTCAAAGGGACCCTCATAAAGAAACCCCACTTATAACAAGCAGACTAAGAAGCTGAACCCAAGTGTCCGGTCCCCGAAGCACTTCCTTAACAAAAAGGCCCGCTAAACCCTAAACCTGATTTAGGGTTTAGGGTTTAGTCCACTAGGGATCCCCTTGTTTAGGGCTCCTTAACAGGATTTAAAAGGGATCTATATGGGAGTTTCCGCAAATTGGGGGTACCTTATTTTGGGGTCCTTGTAATAAGGATCCTACTATTTAGGGTACTAGATTAGGGTCCCCTATTTTCGGAAACTCCCATATGGGTTTCTATAAGGGTACTATAAGGGTAGCT